GTATAGAGGTTGCCCTCTGTTTATTACATGAGGTATCCTTGACAGTGGAAAGCTCAAGAGTAAATGGGCATAAACTTGAATAATTTCAGGCTTGCAATCAGAATTTGAAGAGTGCTCTGAAAAGTAGGAGTGCAGGACAGAGTCTGCCTGTACGAGTAGGAAGAACAAAACTCAAGTTGTTTTATGATGCAGCAGGAATGATTTACAGAAAGGATTAAGAGATGGTCAGCCGTGACAGCAGGGGACTTGTTACAGGCCTCCGCTTCTGGAGTCTTTCAGATTTACTGATTAAAGAATTGGTTTACTCAAATAAGGAATAAAATGAAAAAGGATTGTTCCTACTCTCTTAGGAATGGAATGGAGATTGTGTGGGTGCTGGTATTTCCCAGATGCTATTAGTGTTCTCAGCAGTGTCTTCACTGTCATTTCACAGGATTTTTATGAACCCTTCTCCCTTTCCCCCCTCCTCTCTTCCCGTTCTCTCTCCAGAGCACGTGCCAGCTGTAATTCCTCTTCTCTGAACCCCAGGGGCCTCGCAGAAGCTTTCAGCAGGGATGTGGCAGCTGACGACTGCATGGATGTGTGGCCAACAAGCTGCAGACACCACAGGGGATGTCCATGTGCCAGTGCTTGTGCTGCCCAACTGCTAACCCGATGCCATCTCCACCAGCTGATGACAGAGCTGTTGTTGGTTGCAGAGGAATGTAAAGCCTTGCCAGTGCTGGGTTCTGTTCCAGGTTTCAAGAAAGGAGTGTGCTGTGCTGGTTACAGACTGTTCTTCAGCTGCTTATGCCCTACAAGCAAGCTTGACCCCTTCTGCCCATGCTGTCTCCACTCTGTCTGTCTCCCAGTCCCCTCCTTCTCCTCCCCCCATACCTTTTATCCTTGGATGAACTTATTTCTGTCGGGCATGCTAACAAAGATATTTCCTTTCCCTTGCAGGAGAAATGTCAAAAGCGGAGGATTGAGAGGCTTTCTGGCCTCTGCTCCGTGGCACGCAGCGGAGGAAGTCCTGCTCAGACTGTTGACCTGCAGAGGAAGCATGCGTCATTGTCCCCCTGAGATGGCCTGTGTGCAGGATGATCAATGCACCAGGGACACAGCAGGGCACAGCAGGCTTGGTGCAGGCATAAAATATCCCCAGATATGCTGATTTCTAAGAAATCTCTGGGGAACATGAGGAATGAGAAATCAGAGGCTAATAAATTTCAAAAACATTGATGATTTGTGGTGGTGTTATGAGCCCAGGACCTCTCCTGTTACGTCCTGCAATGTACAAAACAGCCATCTGCAAAACATTTCCTCCTAATTTAGTTCTTGGAAACAGCCGAAACACCACAACCCTGTTAATAACAATAAGCTCAAGGCAGACCACCAGCAAGGGAAAATTCAGTTCGAGTGGTGGCTTCTTTGCAAAATTGTAAAGCCACTAAAATCCCTGTGACGGTGTAAATGAGAGCCTAAGCTACAGGTGGCGGAGCTTAAAACATGCTCTGAAGTGACAGCCACAAGTCTGCTAGATAAGCTAGTGCCATAATGCTCACTTCATCCTTGACATCCACTAGCAATGAGTCAGTAACAGCAATTATTTAGGTAAATAAAACAAAAAAGAAAACAACAACAAAACAACACAATACGCACACACACAAAATAACCCACACAGCTAAGCATCCCTTTATTAAGTCATCAAAAAGCACATTTTCCCCAGCTGATTCACCCCTGAATGACTGTCCTTCTGACTAATGAGGTTCTTATGCCACAGCCCCTGCTGCAGGATCCCTGCTCCACAGATCTTTCTGCTGGTTTATCCTCTGCTGGCTTTCATGTGCAATGAAAACCGAAGCGAGGCCGGGTGAAAGCCGTGTCTGCTCTGAACACCAAACATGGTGTGGTTTGTGGTGGTGCTTATCAGCCGTGTGAGGTATGCTTTCTGGATGGGACCAAGAAAGAAGCAAATAGAAAGAAAATACAGCTAGTTCAATTCTGTGTCTGTTTACTTACGCAAGACAAAACACAGCGCTCTTATTCATTTCCAAAAGGAAACAAGGCAAAATGTCGTTCCCGATCTGCACCAGTGCAATCTGCTTCATCCCCCTCGTCCTTGTTTGAAAAGAGATGTGCCATAGCTCAGGACAGTCATTTGCAGGCAAGACTGGGCCTTTCCCCACTGTATACATGTAGACAATTCCTGTTAGGAAGCTTTTATTGGTGTCTCAGTTTACCAGCTTTAACTCTGTGCTGATTTTTTTAGGGTAGGTATTAGATTCAGGAACAAATTGAGCTAAAATTGCTTCTCCCCATTTCCAAGCATGAAACAAGGGAACTATCACAGTCTGCACCATTACCAGCTTCACAGAACCTGCTTCTGGAGAAACTCTTGCACCCCTGAGGCTGCTGGATGTAACCTGCATGTCAGGGGTATTTATATGGCTTTTGAACACCGGGCTAGTGGGGTTGTGGGGTGCTGAGAAGGAACATGAGCACACTGAGAGGAACAGGGACTGCCAAGAGTTATTGGCACAGACAGCCTTCGAGCTGATGATTGCTCGCTTCTCAGTAACCTGCGTGTTCTTCTACCTGAGTGGCTTCAGTACGCGGTGTTTTTGCATAACAAATTTTCTCAGATGATCTCTTATGGTATTTCCTGTAAGGGCTGAGCGTAATGGTCTGAGTGCCGTTTAATAGGACCAGCTTTTGAAGGGATAAGATGTACCTTCAACTAATTGCTTGTGTGCTCAAATTCTCTCCTCATTTCCGAGCTCCTCAAGCAGTGGCCTTATCGGGAGGGCAGAAGTACTCGTTAGAGTTTTCAAGGAAATGATACAAGGAACGGGCTGACACACGCACACACAAACACCCCCTAGAAAATCCTGCTCCAAATAACATCATTAAAGGCTCCAATTACTAATTATGCTTTATTTGTTGTTGGGCACAAGTTTTTGGAAGAGGCAGCACAGGTAGAAACATTGCTTACACCAAGGCCAGAAGCACTGCTGTGAATATTCTGTTAGCACATGCAGTGTATGGCCGAAGGTTAACAGCAGCAAATGAGAATGGGGTCTTTGTTTGAAAACAAACAAATCTTTTTATTCTTTTTCTCCATTTTCCCTTATGCAGTGAAAAAATCAGCAGGAGCTCATCTAAAGATACAGAAAGGTACCTGGTGCTTGTCCATAAAAACATTAAGTCCTGCTCCCGTGGACGTGTGTGCAATCACATCATCTGTATCTTTAGGTACTGAAATATCTTGGAGGACTGGGCCTTGGAAGGCTCATACAACCTATTTGAGGTTGGAAGGGATGTCCAAAGGCCGTCTGGTCCAACCCCTCTTCTCAAGCAGGGACAACCAGAGTAGGTTGCCCAGGACCATGTTTTTTTTTCCAGTTTCTCCTGCTAAAGTTGTTTCATTTTGCAGCAAAAATCTTAAACATTCCCTTGGGTTGGTAAAAATGGAAAGAGGAAGCATAACCCTCTCCTCTTGAGCTTCGGGTGATTGCCTCAGAGAAAGATAGGTGTGGTGCTAACCCCAGTGAAGGTAAAAGTATCTATGAAATGTCAGCCAGTCTCCCTGAGCATAGACCTCCTTAAACTTATGACACTTAATAAATAAATAAAAATCTTTGGAACATCTGAGACAAATTTGACAATTGATCTGGTAAAATCAGAGTTCGCTTTGTGAACATTTCCAAACTCTGAAGCAGCTTGGTCAAAGAGCCACAATGGATGTGTCTTCCTGAGTGAGAACCAGTGGCCTTGGCTCTGAGCTTGGGGAGCTTGGAAGTAGTGGGACATGGGCTGTGAGATTATTCAGTATCATTTCAATATCAATATATGTATTATATATATATATATTAGGTAATATTTCATATCAGTATCAGCTGCTGGTGGCATTGCCTCCAGGCCAAGTGAGGGAAACCCATGTAAGCCAGCCAGTGCTTCGGGTGCCACCTGAAGGAACAAAAGCTTTAAGCTAAGGAAGGACTTGAAGTTGCTTGTGCAATTTGTTTGTTGGGTTTCCTTTCTCATCAGATCATACCATAAAGGGTTCATTGTGTTATGCACTGGGATTTCTTTGGAAGAAGGCATTTTCAGAGACAGAATTGGCCGTGGTTGTGAGCAGGCATCCCTGGATTCCCCCCAGCATTTCTCTGCCTGCCTCCGCACAAGCAAATCAGCAAAAGAGGAAGCTGGCTGCTTACTGGGTGTGCTCAATAAGCCCAGCACCTCACACATAAATCTCTGCCCTTGTCTGATTTAACAATATTTTCCATACAAGCAATAAGGGCACATCCCCTGTGTAACGCAGCAGAGCTGCTGGAAGCCTGCATCTCGCACACGTCACGGGAGCAGGCACGGCTCTGCCATTCCCACACATCCCCAGTGGGTGATCCTATCCCACGCCGCTGGTGTCCCTGTGGGCAAGGAGGGCTCTGGAGACCCAGGAGAGCTGATGTGGGGTTTTCCCTTCCCCAAGGGAAGGATGAAGGAGGTGTGGTGAGGGAGAAAAGAGAGGGTCCCTGCTGCCTGCAGCAAAGCGGGTTTGCCTGCACAGCTCTGAGCCAGCTCTGGTGTTTCTGAAGCTGCTGAGAAGCAGTTTCTTGTTGAATAGATGTGCTTATGAAAGCAAAACCATTACCCAGATCCCTGAGGGTGGGGAGACACAGGCGCATTTTAAAGTCCACCAGCTAAGAGCGACGTGCTTCACACCTCCAAATACAACTCCGGGCTTGTTCCTGAACCCAGCAACCTCACAGTAATATTTTCTGTGGCATCATATTTTCGAGAGAGCCACTCCAACCCTCCCCCCTGCCACACACACACTCTTTGCTAATTCTCTTTCTGCTGGTGCAAATCATTAGTTAAAATGCAGCTTTAAAAAATTCTAAACAGATGAATGGAAAATAAAAAAAAAAAAAAAACAACACTACCCATGACATCAGCAAAACATACTAATAGACAGATATCAAAGGGATGCTGCCTTCAGCTACACACTTGAAATCCTGCTGACGTCAATCTGGGGCACATTTTAGCCTCCTGTGCTTTGCGTTTAGGAAGCTGAAGCCCATTACCTATAATTGGTTCCACCTACATGTAATTTGTCGAGGAGAGAAAGCAACAAGATGCAGATTCTCCCTAGGATCATGGGCACGAGGTGTGTTCCTGATGGCCTTGCAGCTCTCCTACAGAGAGGCTTTGGGTGGGTGTCTGTGGGGAATGCTCCAAGGAGCTGCTGCAGCTCCCAGAGCTGGTCCTGAGCCGTGGGCAGGGGCTGACTTCAGTGTGCACCCATACCACACACAGCAAATGGAAGGGGGATGAAACATTACAGATCCCTGAAGAAGGTCCCAGTGCCTGCTGGCACTGATGTCCTGGCTTGGACTGGGGACAGGGGGTATCTGGTGGGCACAGGACCAAGAAGAAGGCACAGTTTGGGGCACGTTGGTGCATGGATCCCAGGTCTCTGTGACTCAGCTAACAGCATTAGTGATGGAAAAAATGTGCTGAGGGCCTTGCTGATGAGGTAGGTGTGTTGGTCACTCTCATCAGGAAACAGGTTCATGGCACTAAATACTACGGCTATTGTATTTATAGCTGTGCTAATGCCATCCTAGCCAGCAGGTCAAGATCCTGTGTGAGGTGATGGGAGGAAAGGGAGGCAGGCAGGAGCATGCTGTTCTGGTGGAGAGGAGCAGGGATTGCTCTTAGCCAGAGGATTTGTGCTGGAAGGGACCTGGAAAATACTCCGGCTTGCTAATGTCCCCCACTCCTAGGGGGTCAGGGCATAAATGGTATATATATTTACAATATATATCTATATAGATGTTGGATTGCTCTGAAACTGGCAGAGGAGTAGGAGAGTCCATGATAACTGTGAATTTTTTGCTGAATTGGATGAACCCTTTGCTTCATATGGATCTGGTGGGGATGTGGTAAGGCTTGGTGCGGTATGTACCAAGGTATGTGCCTTAAAATAAACATGCTGGTTTAGCAGATTTGGGCTAAACCTGACCATCTCTTCAGGGAAATGTTCGCCACTGCGCAGGATGGGAACACCACTGCTGCCCTGTCCATGGAGGGGAGATGCTCGCCCTCCTCCAGAGGAAAACTTGGAGACTGAGGCATGGGCACAGGGCAGCAACAGGGGCTTTAGGGGGCTGTAGAAATATGTGCCTGCCTGCGGATGGGCCCTGCTGTCCCCTGTGGGCACTCCCTGCAGCACCAGACCTCTCGTTCTTTAATTAAGCTCTCTCATCACATACCTGAAGTGAGGACATTTCATGCACTGTGGAAATAACTCATGGAAAGGTCCTGTGAGTGCCCAAGGCGGTTGCAATCTGGGCTCCCAGCTTCTGTCCCTGCTTCTCTCTCTTGTCCCAGAGGAATAAAATGTGCTCTGTGGTGGCAGAGGAGAGCAGGGAATAGGCTCTTGGATGTGGGGCTGTAGGTTTTGCCCTCCCAGCAGGTGGCTGCATCACACAAACTAGTAAAAAAGGCTGCAGGGAGCAGTTGTTAGCATTTCTAATACAAAGAGAGGCTCTGTCATGGGAGAACATGGCTAGCAGCTGTGTCAAAGGCCATCCGTGTTACCAATGCTTGGATCAGCCCAGAGACCTTTTCTTGCCATCGTATTGCCACCTTGAGCAGCAGATTCATCCATCTCTATATTCTGGTAATTTGGAAAACATCAGTCAGTTAACTAGAAGGTGGGTTAACCACAAGGACCTGAGACGTGCCAGGCTGTCGTATCGCTGCCTGCAGCACTTCCCCTCCTTCCCAGCACCCGCTGATTCTCTGCGAGTGTTTGCCAGATGAACGGGTTACGTTTTCCAGAGTGAAAGAGGGGAAAAGTCAGCTCTGCTAACAGCAGCACTCAGCCCTCAGCTGCTTGGAGAGCTACCAGGAGCCCCAGTCCCTGCTTCTGCTGCATAGCACTGTCTGTCTGTCTGTCCCTCACTGGTGCTCCTCTGAGTGCCTGTGGGGCTGGTATGACCCCGCAGATGTTGGCTATGCCAGGAGGGATCCTCAGACACGGCCAGCAAGGATTTATGGCTGGAAGTCCGAGTCACTGCTTACTCCAAACAAGCCAGCTGTGGAAAAGTGGCTGAATAATTCATATTAAGTGGAAAGATATTCATGGATGCAGAATCCCTTCCATGGGTTTATCATCAGCTCTAAAAATAAATAACTGCCTCCTGGGGTCTTTTTTTTTTTTCCTTTGATTACGGCTGTAATATTTTGGGACGTGTACCTACGTTTAGCCTCAGAGCAGGAGGTGCGAGGTAAGGGGCTAGAGGAGCACCTGAAGACATGCAGGCCGTGGCCAAGGTATTGCAGGTGGATGCAGATGCTGGCTGTTATTTCCTCAATGCTGTCCACAGCTCAGAAGTAATGTCATATTTATTTATTATAGGATATTTGCTTGCACCGAGGGCACGCCGAGCTCAGGATGTTTCTCAGAGTTACGCACCAGGGGAGCACTGCAGGGCAGATCGGCCACAACTGCCCCTATCACCGGTACCAGGGTTAATGTTTTTGTACCAGGAACAAAAACACCCTGAGCTTAATGAGCCCTGCCCCACCTGTGACCATCCTCCCTGTGACGAGCTCTAAGGGCCCGTAATGGAAACTTCTCAGAAAAGACCCGGTGTAAAGGCAGTAAAGGGCAGCAAATAATCAGCAGAAATGAGCGCTGATGTGTGTTTTGATAGAGCTACTGGAGGAGGAGGTTTTTGAGAAAATTGTAAATACAAACGTGGATGGAAACAACGTGGGATTCAGCCTACAAAAGCACAGTCCTCTCTGGACTGAGGAAAGGGCTGTAATAAAAAGCTGAACTATTTGGAGAGGGTGGGAAGGCAGGGACATGAAGGAGACATCCCTGGGACTTGGGGCAAAGTTACTGACGCTTGGCAGGGAGCTGAGTTTTCCACCTTCAGCTCCAGATAACAGTTTTCACTCCCCACCACCTCAAGGAAAATGAAAACTACGGACACTAAAAGAAAAAAAAAATAGCAGAAATGCTAGCAGGCATGAAGCACAGAGACAAAGGATGCCCTTTGAGATGCACCTCCTGCCCACGCTTGGAGATCTGGATGCTGTTTGTACACAAAATGAGCCCTGGCCCAGGTTTCCTGGATAAATTGTGGAGTTTCCTCCTTGGAGATGTTCACAAGCTGCCTGGACGTGGTTCTGGGCATGATGCTCCAGTGGTCCTGCCTGTGCAGGGGGTGCACCAGGTGCCTCCAGAGGCCCCTTTCCAACCTCAGCTATCCTGTGGTGCTTTGAAACATCAGGGGAAGCTGCTCACCCCTAGTTATAGGCTTGCAAAGCCGGGTAACATTGCGCTTCTCCGGGGCAGGTCTGGCTGCAGCACTGCAGGGAGCCACAGGCAGGGATGCTGCATGGCCACAGCCCTGCCAGAGCTCCCAGTTGTTCCCACCTGTGCCCAAGGACAGCGGTGCCAGCTGGCTGGGTTTCCATCACTTACAGTTTCCAAATCTATAACTTGGCAGGTTGAGCTCTTCTGGCTTGGAGGACCTTTCCAGCACGTGTGTATTTGTTCTCAGATGGAACAGAAAGGAAATAAAACCTCAATACCAAAACCTCCTACAAGCTGCCAACATCCATTTTGACCAGCCCAGCAACCACCAAAGCACAGGAAAAGGCTGTTACGGTGAGTACCAGCATCTTCATCCTACCTACAAATTAGAAAGCGCGGCGTGCCCGTCTCTGCTTGGATTAATCCCAGGCAATTAGCACAGCCCTCCAGTAACGCTGCGCAGGCACCAGCTGGAGCGATAAATTACAGCTCCGGAGCTGATTTCCCCAACAAGCCGCGGCGTGCAGGCTGGGGCTGGAGGCTGTCCAGGCGAGGAAGAGCTGCTGCTGCCACGGGCTGCAGGGAAATAACAAGTGCAATTTTCAGTAACTGTTTACCAAGGGGAGAGCGATATATTGGTGTGCTTCAGTAAATTGGAACGAGCCCTCTCGACTTTGCCAGGGACTGTTCCTAGATGTGTAACGGCCTAAAATGAATGGGCTTTGCCATAACTTTTCGGTGATTACAACCAAATGTCACTTTATTCACCCATCAAGGTGGATTTGTCGGGGGAAGAGTGTCACGTTTGGAATTATCGCTGCGGAGAGCTGTGCTAACAACGGTGCTTGGGCTTTTAGTGCCCAATTAGTAGCGTGCTGCAACTGCACCTCCCCTCATTACTTGCTATCATTTCATTCTGCAAAGAGTTAGCACAATGTTTATAAAGCCCTTCCTCCACTGAATACCGGTGCGTCCAACTGGATCGAGGTTCGGGCCATGCCAGCCCACTCCTGTGTTCCTGCTGGGCAAGGCAAAACAATAAATTGGCAACACACTGCACGGAGCTGGGGACTGGGTGGAAATCACCACCATCACTAAAGGAGGAGAAAACTAAAGGAATTAGAAATAATATCAAATGGGTATCATCACAAAATTAAAAAATGTAGTTTCCATCACTGCAATGGGGAATGCAACACCAGTTAGGAGCTCGACAGTCATGAGTGCCTCCTTTATGCGTGTCTGACAGCCTCCAAGTGTAATGACTGCTGTGATTGCCCTTACACAGCTTATAATAGGGCTCCAGCTCTCCTTGGCTTGTCCTGCATAAACAGATGATAATAACCTGGTTCACACCATGATTTAAGGACAAACAATTACTCACGGGGAGGTATAAACAGATGAGAGAGGTAAAATTTAAAATTAGAGATTTAGAGAATTATGGTACTATCGGATGTATCAGTACATCTGATGCCCCTGAATTTATTGGCCTTACTTAGGGATCATTTTACAGGTGAGTTTCAAGGATAATTTTGCTTTGGAAGAAGATAATGATGCACCTTGCTGATGCATTTGGTTTACAAATGACTAATTTTTAAGCAGAGCACTCAGAGTATGCATAAATGGAGATGAAGGAGAAGGCATCATGACTTTGTTAGGGAGATTAAGCTGATGTTGCTGTCCAGGCCAGAAAGCAGATAGAGGTGAGGGGAAAGGAAAGTCCTGAAGCTACAGCAAGTGAATTTGTGTAGCACAATAATAACAGTGTGGAGGAGAGGGGTTTGCAGGAGTGGCAGCATCCCCTCTGGCAGGCAATGCTGCAGGGTCACCCCACCTTGCCCAGCCCAGCTCGTCTGTGAACCCGTGGCTACCAAAAGTGGGAATCATGAGTCACAAACCAGGTGCTGGGGCTGGGTTTAGTCTTGAAGCTGTAAGAACAGCATCCTGTGGCTGAGCCTGGGCAAGTAATTCCTAGTTTGAAAGCTGAGGGAACCCGAAAAGCCAGAGGAGAGAAGAAGAGAGTGGGGTGGTGGGATGAGTCGGGGTTGTCGGGAGTCGAGGCTGAGGAAAAAAGGGGAGCAGAGAGTGGGACCATGTGGGTGAAAACATCTGTCCTGAGAAGCAGGTAGAGTTGGGAGGTGGGGAGCAGGTCATATAAAATCTGAGACTCACACCCACTAAGAAATTGGGACCGGAGTCAGGGAGAGTGAGGTGGGGCTGAGACGAGTCAGAGGGGAGGGGAGGGAACTGCTGTTAAAGGCTGACCACTTGACAGGTAACACGAGAAGTGTGGAGGCTGGAAAGGCACCAGGAGAAGGGTGCCGAGTTCAAACAAGTAGCCTGGTTAGAAACTCCAGCAAGAAGCACCTTAAATGAGGAGTCACGCACCACTTAGAGGTGCCCCGCAGCAGCAGCTGGATGAAAATTATAGCTCTGTGGTACACGAGAGGCCACAAGGAGAGAGAAGTAGGAAACATCCTCCTCCGGCCTGGGGAATCAGAAGGTTCTTCCGAGGTCATTTGTTTTCTTCAGAAAGTCTCTGTGAAGTCCACTTGTGACATCATGTGGCACATCACCTCTCATGCCAGACTGTTCCAAAGATAACCATCACACATCTCGCTCTGTTAGCTCAAACACCCAGTTCTTTTACACAGATACCCAAGGGATGGTGACTCCACCACTTCCCTGGGCAGCCTGTTCCAGTGCCTAACAACCCTTTCGGTAAAGAAGTTCTTCCTAACATCCAACCTAAACTTCCCCTGGTGCAACTTTAGCCCATTCCCCCTCATCCTGTCACCAGGCATGTGGGAGAACAGACCAACCCCCACCTCGCTACAGCCTCCTTTAAGGTACCAGTAGAGAGTGATAAGGTCGCCCCTGAGCCTCCTCTGAGGACACAACTGCACAAACATGTCAGGAGATGTTCCTCTACAGATGCACCATACCCCACTAGTGGCTTTTGCCCTGGACACTGCAAGGTTGGCTGTCTCCTTTACCCTAGGCTCTCATCAGAGGGAGAAAGATCAGATTTGAGAAGTCAGATATCAATATCAGTTGGTTGGTAGGTGGCCCACTGCATGCTCAATGTACTGGAGCTGCTTCAAAGCTCTATCCTGCAATCCCACCGTTTGCCTGTGCAAATGGCTAGATTTCATTTTTGACACTGAAAAAAAAACAAAAAACGTTTCAACGCTATCAGACCCTCTTCTCTCCAAGCAGCCCTCCTTTTAAAACCACATGCCACTGACATGAACCTAGCTAATTTTGCTCACACAACAGCACTCTAAAACAAACAAACAAAAATCCATAATGCAGAATTAGCCCTTGGTGAAATTCCAGCTGACAATCACCTACTTAGCACATATCGTAGGTGGTGTGGCCCTGGCAGGACTGGTTTAACTGCAGTGTTTGAATTCTGCAGCAGAGTGCAATGTCCTCCCTCCCACAGACACCCAGAGCTGTACCCGAGCCCGAGTCCTAGCGTGGTCACCGACCCTGACTGCTCTGGGTGGCCTGGAAGCAACTGAAGGTAAAGCGCAGGGTGACCCTTCAGCTGTCTTTGCATCTAATTATGACCTCGGTAAATCTGTTCCACAACCATAGTGATTCAGGTTGTCTTGTGTTTGAATACTATGGGGTGGCACTTACCTTTGTGTCACAGCCTGCGTAAAATTGAGGACACATATTATGCTACAGGCTTGGGGCAGAGCAGGGCTATGAAGCTGGTGAAGGGCCTGGAGCACAAGGCCTGTGAGGAGCGGCTGAGGGAGCTGGGGGTGTTTGGTCTGGGGAAGAGGAGGCTCAGGGAGGACCTCATTGCTCTCTACTACCTGAAAGGAGGGTGTGGGGAGCTGGGGTCGGCCTCTGCTCACAGGTAACCAGTGATAGGACCAGAGGGAATGGCCTCAAGCTGTGCCAGGGGAGGTTCAGGTTGGCAATGAGGAGACATTTCTGCTCAGAAAGAGCAGTCAGGCACTGGGACGGGTTGCCCAGGGAGGTGGTGGAGTCACCGTCCCTGGGGGTGTTCAAGGAGAGGTTGGACGTGGTGCTTGGGGACATGGTTCAGTGGGTGACAGTGGTGGTAGGGGATGGTTGGAGCAGGTGATCTTGGAGGGCTTGTCCAACCTTAATGATTCTGTGATTCTACAGCAGTCAGTATTCCTCTTTGCTTACTAGTTCTAATCCAGCAGAAACGCTAAATTTCATTTTTAATCTTGGGGCTCTTTGAAAAGAGCACAAGAAAGGCATTAGGAAAGGCCAATATTTACATCTGGCAACCAAAACAATTTACAGAACCAAACCAAACACCAAGCCCTCCAGTCAGCCAGCCATTCTGTAGCTCAGAATTGCACTTTATTAAATCAACATCATAAATGTTTATTTCAATAATATTTCAAAGATATATACAGTTTCACAGAATTATATATTTATATTTAAATTATTATCATTTGTAATCTAGTTTATTATATGGGGTTACATGTGTGTGTGGGGGGGAGGGCTTTTCTTCTCTAGTACCATGTATATATACCAAAACAAACAAAAAAGGTCAACTGTGTAACAAAACAGAATCAGCACAGTTCGCCAAGTACTATTAATTCAGTTCTGAAGATTTGAATTTCTTTATGTAATGAACAAACTATTGGTGAGCTGTGAATGAACTAATCATGACTGTGCTTGGCTGCATTCTTCAACTCAGTTTTAGTTTGAAAAATTGTTCATTTGAATTTATAAAGGAATAAAAAATGTTTTCAAAAGACTATTTAAAGAAGATAGAACTTGTCTCCCACACTTAGTATGTGAAAGCTCTTGCTGTTGATGTTGATATTTCTGTATGAATAGCATTAATCATCCATAAACACAAATCTGTGCCCACATAGGTTTGAATGCACTGTGTTATTATGGCACACTTGGAACATTTTTAAAGCTTTGACCATTGCTATTATTAGCTCCATTGATTTTAAGATGACTGGGATTTAATTATGGGAAAACTTCTTTTCTGTTATATGTAGCTGTGCATTGTCATTGCAATCTATGACATGGATTCTTTACCATATGTGAAGCTATTGAAAAATTCTTTTAATCGAGCCCAAATTGTCAAGTCTATGTATAAAGTTACACTTTCAAATTTGAATTACACACCTATATTAAAATAACCTACGACCTTTCGACCTTTCCAGAGACACTGAAAGTATGTAGCTCCTCCTTTTTTTTTTTTTTTTTTATTTTTTCTGTTAATAGTGAAAAATATTTAGCAGACAAATAGAATTTTAATTCATAGTGAGACAATTGGCTCCAGGCACTTGCATTTCAAAAGCTTTTGTTTTTAAATACATAGCCTGCTTGCCAGCATAAGAGTAGCAGTCTGAAAACATCCATGCTTAGACACTGCAGAGTTGAAGCATTTCCATGTCTGCATTCAACTTCCATTGGCACGAATGTGTCAAAATGTTTTTCAATTCCTCCTCCTGCTCTAGGAGAAACATTCAGGAACTGACAAATTTGTAGTAAATAACCCTCAAGGTGGCCATTAGCAAGAGTGGGGATTTACATATAATTATCTAAACATCCACAACAGACCAATCTGCCAAAAAAATGGAGTGCCAAATGTGAAAGCTGACTTCTGATCTCCAGATCTCCCGTCCTATAATTAAAAAAGTAGCAGCAACAATGGGAAGCTAGCACTGATCTAAGTAGACCTAGAACTTTATTCACCAAATGTAGTAATTTGTGAGAAGTATTTCATTAAATTATTAATCACATAACTTCAAACTAATTTTAAACGAGAAAGAACTTCAGCCTCAAAATTTATGCAGACCCTGCTCGCAGAATGAGAAAAATGCTTAATTGCTCCTCATTTCACCAGAAAATGTTGCTATTTGCATAGAATCAGCTTCTCTAGGACAATGCACTGGGAGAGCTGTTGTTTTTCGAAGGTCTGTGTGCTTTTATGGAGCATTTGGAAGGTCTAAAATATTCAAGAGCACAAGCCTTCAGTACTCCTTGCTTCTGCAGCTTTTACAGTATCCTATCTGTGTTCCATATCAACAAAGGTATTTAAAATCCACAACTCCTATTAAATGTAATGATTAATTGGATTTTTCTAGTCTCTCTGCATGTTGACCCCTACAATCTTGGCCAGCCCTCGAGGGAGCTAAGCAGAAAATGCCGTGCTGCTCTTGGCACTTAAGTAAATAGCCACAAAATGTCAGAAAGTCTTTCCTATCCATGCACTGCCAGCGATGGAAATTGGAGTCAGATCACGATTTAATGAAATTATCTCCATGAGCAGATGCTAAATGCCCCTCAGTTAGAAACCACCAAATTGAGCGTGTCACAATAAGGATGAGTCGAATATAAAAACCAACAAGGTTACACTCCAGTCCTAAAAGCTGCCGTACCTGTTGCACACAAGCAGAAGAACAAGCAAGCAGTTTATGTAGGGTTTTACCCAGTCTTGCTGCCAACTTTGTGAGGATTTTTTTTTGAGATTCAGTTTTTATGTGCACTTCATGTCTGGGCACAATGCCAAACGCAACAGTCATTGCAATGTCAGACTATAGGCAGGAGTCCTCCACAGGAGATTTTTGACAGCTCTCTGAAACACACACATTTTCTTGAAGGGAAACACCGAAGCAGGACTGGATTATCCAGGACTCCACAGTGACGCTCTCAGTGACTTGAAAAGGGGAAACATAACCCCCATTTTTAAAAGGAGAAAAAAGGAACACCTGGAGAACAACAGGCCGGTCAGTCTCACCTATGTGACAGGCAAGATCATGGAGCAGATCCTCCTGGAAACTGTGCTAAGGCACATGGAAAATAAGGAGGTGGTTGGTGACAACCAACACGGCTTCGAAAAGCTCTGGGGAGACCTTATGGTGACCTTGCAGTAACTAAAGGGGGCTACAGGAAAGCTGGGGAGGGACTCTTAGTCACGGGGTGTAATGACAGGACAAAGGGTAACAGCTTTAAACTAAAAGAGGGTAGATTTAGACAGGATATTAGGAAGAAATTCTTATCTCAGAGGGTGGTGAGGCCCTGGCACAGGCTCCCCAAAGAAGCCATGGATGCCCCAGCCCTGGAGGTGCTCAAGGCCAGGTTGGAACTGAATGGTCATTAAGGTCCTTTTCAACCCAAACCGTTCTATGAGTCTATGACACCAAGCATTCCCATTCTTCATTTTTAAGGACGTGGCAGCTGTTTTTTTTTTTTTTGTTTGTTTGTTTTTTTTTGTTTTTTTTTTGTTTTTCCACATTTTTCCCTTTCAGAGCATTTCTAATATTCACGTTGACATTGAAGTAGTTAAAGACAAATATTCACACGCTGTAGCTGTTATCACAGGTATGTTCTTTAAGAAAGTTTTCCATTGAATGGCAAGCTGTGTCTTCTGGTGGATTTGAATATATCTGACATACAGCACAAACACTAGAAGATGCCATTTTTGGACTTGGAGGCTCATAGTGCAGGCTGATAGGAGGCAGCATGTTATACAGACTATCAGCCTGCACAGCTTTTTTTCTTTTGTTTTATTCTTTGCACACCCCCTCCCTCTCCCCCCAGTCTAGCAGGATGCTCATTGTTTTCAGATTTCAAGTGTAGGACTTTTTTCGTCTCCCTCTAATCCTTATTAAAAAGCTTACAATATTCCAGTTAGTTTTACTTTTAAAAGTTACCAAATTTAGCCCAAAGCAGTGTTTTGCTGCTTTATATTCTTTAACAATTACTGTTACTCACTGAAGCACGAAATTATCATGCACTGTAATTTTTCTAAATGCTGAAGTTCTTTTTTAATATATATTTGGGGAAAGAAAAGGTTGTCTTGCACACAATCCCATAATGTAAAAAGACTATAGACAGCTTAGAAACTGTAGTCATTTTTGTCTCAATTCTCCTCTGGTGAATTATGATTTTTTTCAGTTTGTAATATAAGAGGCTAATTGGTGTTTCAATATATGTGTGGAAAACAGCTCGTGGTCTCAGGCTGGGTTCCCTACCACTAATGCTTTGCAATTCAGTGGAGAGGCCCCTGGTGGAGCAGGCTGTCCCCCTGCAGCCCATGGGTCCCCCATGGAGCAGATCTCCACGCTGCAGCCCCCCCGTGGGTGGAGGAGCCCCCGGTGGAGCAGGTGGATGTGGCCTGGAGGAGGCTGCGGCCCATGGAGAGCCCCCGCAGGAGCAGGCCCCGGGCCGGAGCTGCAGCCCGTGGAGAGGAGCCCACGCAGGAGCAGGGGGCTGGGGGGAGCTGCCGCCCACCCGTGGGGGACCCGTGCTGGAGCAGTTTGCTCCTGGGGGATGGACCCCGGGGGACGGAGCCATGTGGGAGCAGTTCCTGAAGAGCTGCTGCCTGTGGGCAGCCCCCGCAGGCTCAGTTCGGGAAGGACGGCATCCATGGGAGGGACCCCACGGGGAGCAGGGGCACAGAGGGACCGTGAAGGAGTGGTGGAGACGAAGCGCCAGGCACTGACCGCAGCCCCCATTCCCCCGCGGTGGTCAGGGGGAAGAGGTGGAAGAGGCTGGATGGGGGAAAGGTGTTTTTGGTTTCTTTGCTTTGTTTCTCACTTCTCTAGCTTGTTAGTAATAGACAATAAATCTTACTCTCTCCATTCCTCTCCAGTTAAGAGACAAGGATATCATGCCGGACAGGGTCAAATGCTGTGCACAAGCCCAGGTAGATGATATCATGGATAGAGATATCCCTTAGTAAAATTTTTGTCCTATTAGAATATGTTGGGATTTCCAAATAGAGTAAGGTATCAAAGAAATCTTGGTATCTAGCTCCTAATGGATCTGTTGCTCATTCTGATAGACCCCTGATGTAATAGGGCCATGTCACCACACTGAACTCAAGCAATCTCAAAATAATTTGAAGCTACCTTCTGTAAAAGCATATCGTTCAATTTTCAGATATATTTCATGTTCTGTAACAATGTTAAGGACTGCTTCCATAGTTTTTAAAAATAGGAAGAAAGGGGTACATCACGGTTGTCACATTTGTTCAATCCCATGACCTCAAAAAATCATTTTTGCTGTTGGAGAACCTTCACCATAGATGCATAGGGATTAGAAGACAAAAAACCTCCAACTCTTTTCAATGCAAAAATCTTAAATACTGATCTAATCTCTGAAATACTGTTCACTAATTTAGCAGACATTGCCTGCATCTATGCATCTGCAGTCTTGCTTGACATGAAAGATGCAGAGAGAGGACTGACATAACGTTAGGATAATCAGTTCCTAGAAACACAAATAAATGTGCTCACATGGAAGTATAACTCGAGTTGAATGTCATTAGCACAACTCGTAACAAGATGATTAAAACAGCCTTTACAATAAAGCAACATTTAGTGAGAGCTGAAATAACATAATAATCACACTCGAAGCAGCTGATACATGATTGCTTTATGACGTGATGACATTCAGACTCTTAAGAGCCAACGCTTGACAGCAGCGAGACTTTTAGGCATTCATGGATATTGCATCACTGAATAATATAGCATGCTAGTAAAGTATTTGGAGATCTTGAGATTTTTATTTTTTTTCTACCTTAAAAACAGTAACAGGAAATACAAAAATGAAAAATACTCCTAGCGAAAAGCTGAAAATGCTTTCGGGATCAGACCGCTGCAAGATTATACTCCGTTCAGCTGAAACATACACATAAACTGTTTCTGGAAGAGCACTAAGTAATGTAGTCATATCGACCTCACAAATATGTGTACAAGTAGAAAATTTTGAATTTAGACTTAACAAATTTTAACAAAGTACACACATATAGGCATGACCAATTAAAGCAACAGAAAACGAGAGTATGGCAGGATGTTTTGGATACACCCTAAATTCTTCCAGCACCTGAGATCTTCATTAAATTTAATATTTTACCTTTTAGGAAATGTTGCTTTTCTATCTAGTATTGTAGTGAATAATTGCAAAGTTACTTCTCCATTTTCTCTGTAAGATCTCCACTCCGCATACTCTCTCCTGAATTGCATAACCTGTGGAATGCAGATCAAGGACATGACTGATGATCCTTCTGTAATTAAAGCTCCCTAATGCTGCCAGCACAAGCTCTATACAAAGAGCTAGGGAGGCAGTACCTCTGCCCTTTTCTGAACCCTTAAAATCTCTTGTGAAGGCAGCAATCACAAGCTGTTAGAGGGAAAGGAAGAACATAATCATTTGAACTTTTGGGAAGAAACTGGAAGATATCCTTTAGTTCATTTCAAAGCTGGTGATGTCTGCAAACAATCCTCCTTACGTATCCAAAACACACTTATACAAGCTCCAAAAGGAACTCAATGACCATAATAACAGATTTCTGAGTGTTAGCCTGAAAATTAACTCACTAAAAGCAAAAAAGAAAAAGGCAGACAATTTTGCAGATGTTTTTGAACATAAGCCAAACAAAGTTTATTTCTGCCTCACCAGACTCCATCATTAAAACTGGAAACAACAGATTTCAGAGATCTCCATAGTAAAAAGATGAAGCCAGTGTTTGTTTGCATGGTAGTTGACCTGCATAGTTCAGTTGTAACAACTGATCAGCAATGCTGCTGCAAAATGAACAGCCCTTGAATACAGATGATGTAGAATATTAATTTTGGCAATAATTGAGTACTTGGAGGCTTGCATGTAAAGAGACAAATGTATTATACATCTCACATTACACTGTGAGAGGTTAGAGGATTTTTGAAGCCTTACAGGACAGAAACCATAAAATGTGCACATTGTATTATCAAGAGGGAAAACAAAGACTGAATTTCAAAGACATACAATCTTGAGATCAACCCAGACAAACATGGGGGGAGGGAGTGAACAACTCAGACTATAAAGCCCCTCTATGAAAGCAAACAAACCACATCTGGATTATTTAAACTTCTGGAAAAAAAGTCACATAAACATTTGCAATGTAACGCTGCAACCCACAGATTTAACCCATAGTAAGATTTCTCTTGTACAGGCAATTGGAAATTTCTGTGCAAAAAAATAAGAAATAAAGCTAAGGAAGTTCTGTTAAATGAAGATTGAACATTTCACATAACAAAATTTCTATTTAAAGGGTAATCGTAATAATAACTGATCATCTTAAACCCACAGCTGAAAGACTGGACCAAATAGAACATAAAATTCTTTTAATTTTAATAAGGGAATTAAAAAAGTAACCAGAGGCCTCAGAAAAGTAACGAAGTGATAGAAACTTTCATCTTTATATGCACCAAGGAGGGCATATGCAACAGTGCTTGTGAAAATGCTGAGACAAAGACATGGGAAACAAGCCAGGATGTCCTGTCCAGCCTTAAGCTGCTGCTCCAGAAGGATGCAGATCTTTTGTAGGTCTTGTGTTAGATCTGCCAGTCCTACGCAGATGTCTCAGGGTATGGCAGTAGATCTGAAACGGCATCACGTCTCTACGTGCTAGCATCTGAATGTCACCTAAACCTGACTTATGAGTAACTTCTCACAACAGAGTTCATTTTAGTCATCCATACATGAACCTGAACACCTTAAAGTCACAATTTCTGTACACTGAAAGACCATGGATGTGGTATGGTTGTCACAACTACAAATACGGCAGGGTATGATCTTTATGATCTGTTTGTAAAAAGTACATACATTCATTGCAAACAGCGGCGTATACTCCAAGTGAAAATTAACCTGATACCAAATCACACATAGATAACAAAAAGAGATTTTTACTAAAGTAATGCACCTTTTTCTGCTGATGGTGGACTCCAGTTCTTTCGTCAGTCTCTCTCTTATGCTAATACTGTAAGCACTCCTATTTTTCTTTCTGTTTCCCCTCCCACAAAGTGGCAACCGAAGAAATCAATTAGGTAACTTGAATGCACATTTTGTAGCAACATAAAGATTTTTAGAGGAAATGGAAGTCAAGAAAAAATGGTATTTCAAAACACTCCCTCTTCTCTGCCTCAGAGATCAACAACTGACTTAAAAACTAGTTTTAGAGAAGTAAGTGCACCACCAAAAACATTACTGCCACCAAACCATTATTTGTAACAACAGACAGAGATATAAAATGCACCATATTTAAACACGCTTCTCCCTCCATGGCTAAGGGCAGTTAACTTAATACAGGAAGCTCCAGATACTTTTTAGGTTTGAAAACACTGAAAAGCACAAAAGACAGCAGACTGACCATCGGGGCTCTGCAAAGGATGCAGTACTTACCTTTAGAGAACATACTTTATTTAATAGAAGTTTTTTGCTCCAATATACAAAATAGGGGACTGCAGTCCCAATTAACATTTACATAGGTACACCGCAAATCATTTCCACCATTTACAACAACTGACGACTTTCCCATACTCCCCTCTGTACTACAGCCAAGAAATAATCCTATAATGCTTTACATACCAATCAGTCATATTTTGCACTTCCCTGCCTCTTTTCTTTTCTTTTTTTTTTTATGAAGTTGCAGTTTCTGATAATAGTTTAATTGAGAACTTTCAATTATTTCAGCTGCACTAAAAGTAAAATGAAATATATAATTTGGAATACTATCTCAAAAACCCTATACAAAACGAAAGTCAGCGCCTTATAAAAATATGTGGCAGGAGTAAAACCAGTGAATAAAATGAAAATGTTTTGAATTTTGTTAGGGTATAAAGTATTTAGCAGCTAGTCTCAGATTTTGACTACACTAGGAAAAGAAAAAAGAAAGAAAAATAACAAAAAATTGTCCATTAGCAAAAAGTAACATGACAGTTCTTTTACAATGCTGTACCTTTAGTATGCAAAGGACTTCATCCTTCTAACATGCACCATTAACCAACCGGCTCACTCCTCAACCCTTTTCCCACTGAGGGCTGAAAAAAGGTGTTAAAATTACTTGAATCCCTTAAGAAAAATCCAATCCTATTTCTGCATCTCCCACAATATTTGAGCTTTACTTTACAGTGCTGGTAGTTTAATCATGATACATAATTTTATACAAAAGAATTCTAGCCAAACCAGGGCTTTAGAAACTTTGCATTTTACAAAAGCAATTTGTTACAGCATGACAGTTACTAAATAGCCCAATTTATTTAGTGACCCTGTTAAAGATTTGTTCAACTGAGCGGATAGGTGAAGTCATTTCCTGAGCTAAAAGATACAGGTAAGTAAATAGTCAGTTATAGCAGCAGACAGGAGACATTCTTGTCAAAAGTTGTAACAGTATCAATAAAATAACCTTAGAAAACTACAATAATGTAAAAATCACTAGCTGAAGAGGGGTGACAAGGACATCCAAGACCTGATTGCCATCATCTGGAACATATATCCCCTGACTTTCCAGAAATTACATTCAGCTACTGTCAGACAAAGTACTGTTAAATGGAAGAATGTCAGTCAGATCACAGTAGTTCACATTTATTACAGATCAGGTGTTTTGTCAAGAGTTAGTTCTTAATGCTGTTTCGTAAACCTAAAGCAGGGTAAAACAGCTGGTTTCAGTGAAAAACCCTACTCTTCATTCTACTTTTAAAGGAATGCAGTATCTTCAGTCTCACTAAATTTTAAGCTTATTTCTTTTATTACTTAGAAAAAATATACTTGAGACCTTGAGTGGTTTTTGAGACAGTCACCCATGTTATTGGTAACATAAGTGGATCTGTTTTTAAGAAAGGGAATGATATTCTGAAAACAGCTTACTTTGATCCAAATCATTCTAATTTGCTTAGAGTACAAGATATTAATAAATTATTAAAGAACTATAAAGACTGGTATACCACCGCTGCACCATCATTTTCTTTTGATATGCATTCTTAAAAGTCTTCTGTGTAGTATTTGTTCACTTTTTTCATCCATTAATGGAAAGATGATATTCTAGTTTAATTAAATCAAGTACCTCACTTAGATACCAGTTCTTCCAGAAGGAAATCTCTCTCCTATGTTACTAATCTTTTTAAGACATTGTAGACACTGTTTTTAGAATTTATATTGGCTCTTCTTTAACATTTTAACATAGTTTTAATTCAAATTAATATATAAAATTCTCAATACTTGTTAGAATAAAGGACAGTCAGTACACAAGATCCTAAGTTACAATAATTTATAAATAAAAATAAACTATTACAAACCAAACCTTTCCCCATACGGAGATTAAAAGCCATAATCTTGACTGATTGTTCCCGATCATACATTATAAATAACGTAAGCTTCTTCAGAGAAGCAAAACATACTTGCCTCCCTGACACCAGTTTATATCTTCAGTTAAACTACTACCATCAAGAAGGCAATTGGGCCCAGATATATCTTCTTGCTTACATGTTAACCCTCCCAGCCTCATTCTTTCAAACTTAAGCACAGGAAACTAAGTTCACAAAGAGTCCTTTACTTTTTATATGCGAAGTCTGTATAAAATACAGATTTCTAATGCTCCTATTGCACCAACCTGGCAGTGCAGTTAGAACCTGACTCAAATTCCACTGAAGTCCAAGTAAGGTTCTCCAGTGAGCTTAACGGGCTTTGAATTAGGACCACAGAAACAGCATTACCTAATGGAAAGCTCCTGCAAGAGCGGTTGGTATCTCTTTTTTGCTTACGGGATGCAGTGAAGACGTGTAGTCAGCGTGATACCTGAGCAAATAAAATGGTAATGATATGAAGGTTTTAAAAATCCCAAACTCTTTGCTTAGTTGTGTGCAAACTGTGCTACCACCCCTGGAGCTTCCTGCTTTTCTTCAGTGCTTGCTCCATTCCAAGATAGAGATGCGAGGCATAACAATCTCTCTTCGCTACAGTTCCCCCTCAATCCCGAGACTGATAGAAGAGGATGTAACCAGACTCAGAGTTCTTTGAGATGTCTGATGTCAACCCGTAGAATTCTTCAATAGCTTGTGCATCAATTTTCTGCATGTGAAAATCCAAAATTTTAACGTGAGATTACCTTGCACAACATACACATCACCTTACGTACCGCTCTAAAATATGTTCTCAAACAAAAATAACTTTCACATATTAAATAGAATAATCAAATCCCAATAATTCTTAAAGTTGCTATGTTTTCAGTCTGTCATCAACTGCACAGATGGTAGAGTATACATATGTTTATGTATGTACGTGTGTGCAATTTTAAGGATTAAGTGAATCTATGAGTGTAACCCAAGGTGCATTTGTGCAAATTTCAAACACAAAAGCTTTAAGGATAACAGTATCTCACTAAGACTTTAAATTCACAATGAAGAACATATGTACAAGACATCATTTCTCACTCTAAGCAGTGTAAGCCAGTCAACTGCAGATGAGAACAATGAGAAGGCAAAAATGAAGGCTGACTTTTTCTTAGTTTTTCATACAAAGTTTGCCTGTCATCCTGCCAGCCTGGAAAGTCTCCTATAGCCAAGATTTTTGGGGAAAGACTTAAAGTGTCTGCCAAAACCAGACATTTTTGAAATTAGTATAGTCTGGTTTTCTTGTCATCGCTTTTTATACAAAAGAAATTGAAATTAAAAGCAAGCTCTCTTGCTGTATTTTAAACCAAGGATAATTATGCTACAAACAACAAAAAGGTGGAAAGATGAACTTTCCTTCACTTAGGCAGATATTATTTGATCTCATTCCTATTATTTGAAATGAAACCTCTCTCAGGAAGGAGCAAGTCATTCCAACTTGACTAACCATGGGCCAGGTGTTACTGGTTTGGAATTGGAGAGATTGTCCCTGATGTTTGTGAAATCATACGAGATCTACCACAGTGGCCTCTCTTTTCCTTGAAGGAAATTGAACTTCTGACCCTATTGAGACATTTCAATTTACGGTGTATCGTGATAAGACACAGAGGCAATCCTTCTACCTTCCCAGCAACCCTGTGTAGTTCCATTTCTGTCATTTCCTGTGTTAAAAACGATCCATAATGTGGCTTGGAGATAAGACTCCTTAATACCCTTGACTTGTCCTGCCAATTAACACAGTAAGTCCAATACCTGTCTCACTCATTTTTCTTCTTTTTAATTATACAGTATTTTTATAATGTAACAAAAAAATGTAAACTATTCATTGTACTGGCTTAATTAAATCTAATAAAGGACATGGACAGCACAATCATACTTCTGTTCATGCGTAGGCATAAAAAAAAAGGAAGATGACAGAACAAGCAAAAAAACTAAAACAGTACAAAATACAGACACGAGCAGTTTCTGCTCTTTTTCTCAATGAAGAATAAAAAATAACTGATGAAACAGTTGACAAAGCAAAAACTGGTGAAGGGATTTTTTTGTTTGTTTGTTTGAATACCACGAATTCCTGGAAGCATGGCTAATACTAGCAAGAATACCAGAAGCAAAAGACTCCTGTTTCAGGGACTAACTTCTAGATTTTACACTGAAACTCAGTTTGTCTACTTTGATGCTTGTTGCCCTTTTTCTGAAACAATCCAGGACATTGTACAAAACAGATGACCAGACTGATCCATTCCAATAATTTATAACCTCTTAGAAAATACGCACAAATACATTCCTCCAAGAAATTATTTACTCTTAGAGAAGAACTGCAATAAAACCAATTTATCTGCACCTGTATTTGCCATATACTCTGGCCACAGGATCAGCTTACTAAACAAAGGTGAAAGACAATGGCCATAAACAAAGAAGCTTCTTTTCAGAAATATACAAAACAAAATGCACTTAAACTTACTGTACAGTCAAATTGCAAGGTGCAGCTCTGCCCTCACAGTTATTGATCATTTAGATTGGGATTGAATAACTCTTCTCATTAGCGTATCAGTCTTTTTACTTTAAATAATCATGCACACAACAAGGGCTGCAAGTGCTCAGCTTGGTATGAGAAAAAAGTCCAGAGTATACACAAAGCTTACCTCAACAATATCATCATCAAAAAGCAACCAAAAATCATGACTTTTCACTATTGCAATATAATGTCCTCTGTTAGGGCCACTGTAAAATAAAATTAAAAAAAAGAACACAAACTATAACACATGTATGTATAAACATATTTCATTAAAGTGTTTTTTTCTTGTACAAAAGCAGTATTTAACAGTAATTGAGATGGGTACCAACACAATTTCTGCTTGGATGTTTTTTTTCGTCTTCCACTTAAATTATTTTCATAACAATGTCTCACGTATCTGTATTAAATATTGTGCTAAAAAAAGGATTATGCATAAACTGAGAAATAAGCAGCACAGGCATGAAAATATAAATGAAGGGAAATAAAAGAGAGACAGAGAACTTAAATCAATAAATGATTCTGATGCTTCATAAGGACAGGATAGATCTCACACCAGTTCTGATCTTCATAAAGAGAATATGTAGAGCTGTTGTTCACCTACAGGCTCAATCAGGAATCTCTTCATTTGCTTGACTGCAAATAAAAACTGAATTAAACTGGCAATTTAGAAGTTTCAAGAATTCTTACAGCATGGAAAAGTCTCCCATTTAAACTAAAACAGTTCTAATGCACAGCTCTTCAGTTTGTGGCAGACAAGAAATTTCTCCACAACCATGACAGGAATGAAATCTGTAAAAGTGTCTTACTAATTAATCAGATTTCAGGTAAGAAGATGATACACTTTCCAAACTAGCTACACCTTAAAACTGAAAGTGGACAACTACCTAAAGTAGTTCTGGAACTGCCTGAACCTGCTAATGACACTCATACAATTTTTGTGTTTGTATCAGGGAGGGAAGGCTGCCGTCTATGAGGGACATGTTTGCGTACCAAATTATACAATCCAAAGTAAAACACAACTAACCTGACATGGCTGTGAGAATGGGTACGTTTCCAAGATTGAGCATATGTAGGGCTGTACTGTTAGAGTGATAACTCCCTGCTACTCTGCACTCTGGGACCCAAAATTGGACATTGAATTCCAGACACTGCTTGGTCAATGCAACAGAGAGACTGATAAACTGGAGCAAGGCCAGCAGCAGGTTACTGCATTTGTCAGAGAACTACAGCACCAGGTGGGGTAAGAGAGGCAATGGTCACAAAGCGTGAAAAGGGAAATTCTGATGTGACATAAAGGGGAAAGAAAGTACAGTGAGAATGTTGATAGACTGAAACAAATTGCCCAAAGAGGCAGTAAAAATCCCCATTCCTAGTCATAAAACTGAACTGGGTACAGCCCTGAGCAACCTAATCAAGTGTCAAAGTTAGCTGTGCTTTAAGTAGTTGACCTCACAGTGTAAATTATTCTATGATTCCAGATGTTAAATCATCTTTTTCCACTTTGGCGCTTTTATTTAGTCGATAAGTAGTTTGTACAGCAGCCCTAATTTGAAGACTTGAAACCATAAGAACATCTATGGAAAACAGCAACATCAAATTTTCTTCTATCTGGGGGTGTTTTAGGAAAGGTTGGATGTGGTGCTTGGGGACATGGTTTAGTGGGTGACATTGGTGGTAGGGGTATGTTTGGACCACATGGTCTTGTAGGTCTTTTCCAACCTTAACGATTCTATGATTCAAATACAAGTCTAACAGTCACATTCTGAAAGCAAGGAAATAAAGTAATCAACAAAACTCATAACATATATTTCAGAAAATGTTGATAAAGTCTGTAAGAAACACACAAAACCCTAAAGAAAAGCCTTTATAAAGCAGTATCTGTTCTAAAACACTTTCCCTCTTCCTTTTTTTTAATGATCCTATGATCCTTAAAAGTTATTGCTTATATGACATGGGGTATTTTTATTTTATTTTTTTTTTCTTTTGACATAGATAGGCTCATACAAATAAACCTATGAAATATACTGCTTCTACTTTCCACAATGAGCTGTCATGGCAACAAACCCATATATTACCAGGATTCGTAGCATCTCTTCACAATGCTTCCCTTGCTAATAAACTTTTAAGAGATCTTTAAATGCTATTAATGACGTGATACTGGGTGTTTTGTTTTCATAAACACAGTTAAGCTTACACAAAAATCGCTTACATAAAATATATTGTTATTACCTTCCACAATGAACTACCACAGCAACAAGGTCATACATTCTGTCAGGATTGGTGGCATCTCCTGAGGTGTTAAATAAACGAAGCTCTAAAGGAAAAACTACTCTATAAGAGAGTTTTGTGTATCGATGCAGCTGATCCATGTATTTAAATCTCTTCAAATGGAGAGCTAGAATCATAGGAAGCTTTTTTACTTTCATCCTGAAAAACACAAACATAAAAATGCAGTATTTCCAATATTGAGCCAAATCCTTCAGCTGATACTGACTAACAGAAAACGTATCTACTGAGGTCTTTAAAAAAATTAGAAAGATACTAAGATCATCAGCCATCTTAATAATACAGAACTTCCCCCTTGTTGCTAAAGTAAAGGTGGATTTTAACAATTGAGAGAATTGTAAATTTATTTAGAATAGAAGCTAAATGAAGACCCGTGAATAACCCATACAATAGTTCAGACATAGAGGCCTGTATTAGGTTTATGAAGCAAGGTTTTGGTAGTGGGAGAACTGCAGAGGTGGCCTTTTTGAGGAGCCCAGGAGCTGCCCCACATTATATAGGAGCCACCTCCAGCCAACTCCAAAAGGAGCCCACCGCTGGCCACAACCAAGCCAATAAGCAATGTTGGCTGTGCCTCTGGGAGAGCAGATTTAAGACAGGGAAAATCTGTTGTGCTACAGCAGCTGGGAAAGAGAGAAGTGAGCAGCAGCCCTGCAGCCCCCAGGTGAGTGCAGCAGGAGGGCAGGAGGTGCTCCAGACAGGCAGCACAAGCTCCCCTGTGGCCCGTGGAGAGGCCCCTGGTGGAGCAGGCTGTCCCCCTGCAGCCCATGGGTCCCACATGGAGCAGATCTCCACACTGCAGCCCCCCCATGGGTGGAGGAGCCCCCGCTGGAGCAGGTGGATGTGGCCTGGAGGAGGCTGCGGCCCATGGAGAGCCCCCACAGGAGCAGGCCCCGGGCCGGAGCTGCAGCCCGTGGAGAGGAGCCCATGCAGGAGCAGGGGGGCTGCGGGGAGCTACCACCCACTGGGGGCAACCCGTGCTGGAGCAGTTTGCTCCTGGGGGATGGACCCCGTGGGACGGAGCCGTGTGGGAGCAGTTCCTGAAGAGCTGCAGCCTGTGGGCAGCCCCCGCAGGCTCAGTTCGGGAAGGATGGCATCCCATGGGAGGGACCCCACGGGGAGCAGGGGCAGAGAGGGACCATGAGTGAGGGAAAGGAGAGGAAGCATCTTGGACTGACCGCAGCCCCCATTCCCTGTTCCCCTGCACCACTTGGGGGGAAGAGTTATCAGAGGGTGGATGGTGGGAAGGTGTCTTTACTTCACTTTTAGTTCCCACTGCTCTAGTCTACCAGTGATAGGCAATGAACAATATTAATCTTCCTTACTATTTTGCCTGTTACAGTAATTGGTGAGTGATCTCCCTCTTCTTACCCAACCCACAGAACTCTCCATTGTATTTTCTCTCCCTGTCCTTTTGAAGAGGGGGAACCAGAGACTGCTGTGGTGGCGCTTAGCTACCTCCCAGTATCAAACCACCACAAGGCCATGTAGCACAGAATTCATTTTTAAGACATACCTCCCTAGAGCTCTCCCGAGTTCCCAAATGCAAATCCTATACCTCACTTGGTATACATTGGAGGTATCGCAACAAAGTTGTTTCAGAGATCCTGTGCCAGTTGAACTTCCCATTAAACTGGCCAAGTCAAATAAGAATTTTAAAATAGGCAATACCACTTTGCCACATTTCTGTTACTCCACGTTTTCCTATCGAGCTGTTCATTTAACATTGCCAAGGGATACAAACAGCACACTGTTATTCAGCCTACCTGATGCTACCAAAATAAGATAAATGCTATGCTCTAAGCGCAATGATTTTGTATACATGTTGCAGCTTCATTTTATTGAAGTCAAAGCCAGAAAGTGATAACTTAATTTTACTGAGGACTCACCGCCCCCCTTCTCTAGTTTGAGGTATTGAGATCTCACGTCAGTGCTTACAAATCCTCATCAGCCAAACACAGCTGGCCTGGCAACAAACAGAAACTTGCACCCTCTGAGCGATAAATTTGCCAACAAAATAAAATAAATTTGCCACAAAAACAGCTGCCAAGTTAGAGTGCAGTGCTTGTCGGCATGGCTTATTACCTTAGATTAGCACTGTGCAGAACTTGTCAAACTTTAGCCCTGAAAGGTAGCTCAAACGTCTCAGCAATACAGCTCAATGAAGGCTTCAGATGTGTCTAAGACTGTATTTTCAGAATGTCAGTAAGTATGTTTGTACAACATAATCCTCTTCCAAAAGATAAGGGACTGGGGACAAAAACCTTGAAAACACACCTTCCTTTTCTTTTCTCATTAAACTTAGACTTGATAGTAACTGAAAAAACCTGCTAGACTCAAGTTTTCTCTTTGTCCTGCAAGGAAACTAGGAAATAAAATGTTGAAGGGGTGGAAGATGACAGGAGCAACTATTTTTCTGGACAGTTACTTTATGTTATATTACTGAGATATGGATATAATTTCTGCTCCAATTTTTTCAAAATGGATGTCCTCTTTTTAAAATGCAGTTGTGTTTGACAATAGGAGCTCTTTCACTGGCCAAAAATTCACTTTTTCTAGTTGAACAGACACTAACATGGATAAACTTTATGATATAGAGAAGGAAGAATATTATGACTGCAGTGAAACTGACCTTAAGGGTCACATGAAGAGTAACGTATAAACAATAAAAGCTGTGTTTTGCCAATACATCAGTGCCTACAGTACAGACTTATGTCAACACATCTTATTATTGGTCAGGGATCATGTTGCCTCCCACACAGAAAAAAAGCTAAGGCAACAGAAAACAACAGGACAGACCTTGCTTCACAACCCTCTCATACACATCAATTAGTAAGCTTATGCAATGTGTAAAAGCAAACTTGGCAGATGAGATATGCCAAAAGCCACGTGTTCAATCTACGGTAAACCAAATAACCAGAATCAGTGGTATAACCAGTAGAGCATGTCAGTGTTCCCATCCCTGAAGCTCATCCATATAAGCAGACAAATACTTTCTTAGGTAATAAATAAATACAGTGTATACAACATCAGAGTTTTTTCAAAGGTGTAAACAAGACTAAAAGAAATATTAGACAAGAAATGTTTTTACACAACATAAACTACAGGCTTCCATGGAACTTCAGATGCTTTTCAGGAGCACTGTCATGCAGATGTTTAGCACAACTAATCAAAATCTCAGTTAGCAAAAAGTGTTAATACAAGCATCATTCAGACTGAATCAATAAAAAAAAAGTGCTATCAAACTGTCCCTTGCAGAAATTGTAACAAATATTTAATTATTTAGAGGAAAACAAGCTTAAGAAGTCCCATGAAATCAGTAAATTTTCATTACTACCCAGAATTTTTAAATAATTATTAGTAGTTTTAGCTTGTCTTTTTATCTTATCTTTGGTCTTAAGACCATTATTTTTGTCATTCTTAAAATAATAGGCCTCCCAAAACACTTGACATGGATTCTCACTACTCATGGAAGTAGCCTCAATGAATTCAAGCACGAGGAATGTAACCAGGTTATTCTTAAGTGGAAGAAGAGTGAAAACAGTTAAGAGAGACAGAACTTTCTCCTCATGCCTCATACACACAGAAAAGGAAATACAAGAGTATTTTCAGGAAATAGCTGTGTTTTTTTTCCTTCCCTGAATCTGATGTACCTTTTATGTGCTTCTTGCTTACTGCGACATTCTTCACAATAATATTTGTATTCACTGCACAGAGTTTCTGTATTGCTGAAACCCCTGAATAAAAAAGATAAAATTATATAGATACTAGTTTCTTACCATAAATATATATATAAACATACATAAATAAACAGAAATATGATTTTATTACATTTACATAAAATAAAATTTGCTACATAAAATGACTATGAGTTTTACTTCCTGCTTTCATAGTTTAAAAAACAAACAACCAAAATATGGAAGTTCAGATTTTTGCATCTACCTTAAACAGTGAGTGATTGAAGTATTCTGCTCCACATCAACTGAAAGGTCTAAGAAGTCTTCATCTTTGCTGCTTATCTGCAGGAAGAAAAGACAGGCAGATTACAGCTAAAACCTGTTACACTAATTTACCTCTTTTTCAGCATCATTTTCTATTGACAGAATGCATCATTGCCCTTGTAATAGCTTTCAAAAATTGCTACAAGTGAAATGTCTTTGCATGTTAGAGATTTGCAAGATCTGTTTCTGATTTTGTTCAGAAAGAGGAAGAAGGAAGCATGTATGTGTCCATGGAAGTATACAGTGCCAGTGATTATGCTGTGATTTTAGCTCAACAATAATTCCAGGTTCCTTCTACACCTCAGACTTTTTGAAAGAATATAATTACTAGGATTTTTCTCCTACATAATGCTCTCACCTCTTCTCTTCCCCTATGATTTCCTCTTATTGACAGATATGTATTTGCCTACCATAGCATTCCTAATAAAGAGCAGAAATGCTCAGAAGTCTCCTGTCTAGATTCATAAGCAACAGATGACATATTTGTTGGTAAACAAGAGCTTGGGACTTAGTCTGATAGAGGCAGAACTGTGGATAACAACTACACCACTGCACACAGCATGGGAAACGAGCATGGTGCAATTAGAAAACTATGACCTTACTGCAATCATGGAAACTTGGTGGGATGAATCACACAAGTGGAACACTGGAATAAAGGTCTACAAGCTCTTCAGAAGAGACACGCAGGGAAGGAGGGGCAGGGGTGTTGCACTCTATGTTAGGGAAGAGACTGATTGAAAATCAACCGTGTTATTAAAATGTTTAGGAAACAGCAAACTGCAACCTTAGCTTTTGTCTGCTAGTGTTTCCACTTTGTATCTAGAGATACTTGGTGTCACTGGTGAGAATGTCTACTGCCTTTTATGGCTCCTACATACAAAAGTGAATGCTTTCAGAAAAGGTGCCCAGCTGCAATTTCTTGATTGAAAGCAGCTAGAGCTAAATATCTACAAGAGAACAAATTAAGTTCATCTTTAAAACATATGAGATTTGTGTTCCCTAAGAGAAATTTGAAGCTTTTTTCTGATTATCAAGAGAAGAGAAGCACACAGTTCCTAAGGGCAGCAGACATGGAGAATAAAAAGAAAAGTACAGCTGGTCAAGACAATTATTTCTGAAAATTAACGTAATTGGGCAAATCAAAAGAAAAAAAAAAACACTTATGAAATTAAGTTAAAGCTTTCTCTAAATATCTATGAGAGGACTGGAGAAAGATTTGTCCCACTATTCTATAATCTTTCCAAGAATAAGCATACACACACAGAAAATATGCCACTGTGCCAGTATGTATCATGTCTACAATAACTTTCAAATGCTTAAGTGTAATGTTTAGACTTCCAGAATATATGCAGAAAACTTCCAAGATGTTTTTAGGGCAGGCAAAAAGAGCAACCAGCACCTTCAGCACGTTGCTCATTTCCCATTCTCAGAGTTGTAATGCAGTTTAGGTGTATGGAGATAACAATTCTTCAAAAGATGTCATTGCAAGCCATTTTCAGAATTACCAATTTGAGTTTGGAACACTAAGAACTCTGGTGGAAATCACTGTAGCCTAGGAATTAAGAATGGCTCAGAAAAAAAATCAGTTCTAGAAAACATTCTGCTGCAGTCTTGAGTGAGGACAGCTAGGATTAAGGTGCTGTGTGATCAGTGTTATTCAGACATGCAATTAAGATATTACTTCCTCTCTGGGTCTAATCAAAGAAAATTCCACGAAAGAATGAAAATTTCATAGGTGGCTTTATCACAAGCAGAAGCTGTAAGGGCAGGAAGGCAAGTGGGGAAGAAAAAAAGGATGTATTACAGTTGGACGAAAAGGAAATAGGTACTGAAATCAGAAGTTTGCAAAAGGAATTTTTCCATTCTTAGTGATAATATTGATATACTGCCTTCAAGAACCTCTCTCAGGTTAGCCGGTCATTGTGCACTTTGGATCATGAAGAACCATTACAGTTTTTATTGAAAGAATAACTAAGTGGATTTTTTCCATTTAGGCTGGTAACTTAGAATATGCTATTCTTCATTTTTAAGATTTTTCATGGAGTTTTGTTTGAACTGTTAATTTATGTGTACAGTTTTACTGAAAAAAAAAAAAATCACCTCTCATTCTAACCATGGTCTCTTCTTCTCTAGAGGTTATATTTTCCAATAAACATCACTAAATTCCTTACTAAAATGATCTCATTTTCAAAGCCATGTATTTCAATCATCTGTAGAATGAAAGAAAACCAAACCTAGAAACAGACACGGTCATCACTTGCAGAGCAAAGCCCAGATGTATTCAAAAAGCCTTTTGAGTGCTCCTAGCACAATACATGCATCCAAACAATGATGTACCGGAGTGTTCCAATATTCTGATGAAAATGCATGGCACATTGTTCTCACATGATGGACATAATCTCCACTCAGACTGCACATCTGTAGTCTGATGGCCAACGCCACACAGAACACAAAACCCAGATGGCTGACACCCAAGGAATCTGTATTTCTTTCAGTTGGGAATTTTGCTAGCAACGTGAATCAGCTCGTGGACAAAAAAGCTTTTGCAGCTGTAAGCTCCCATGTGTGCTAAGACAGAACCTATTTTTAAATTAAGCTGAAACAAAGGGCATGATTTGTTGTGGGGGAGGGAAGAGAAAGTAGGACATAGTTAAGTCTTCAATACAACTCCTGTAGAAAGACCACTGAGTTATTCCTTACTGCCTTCCCTCAGTCCAAAGTAGAATTTTTTATGTTGATGAATCATACCAAAACAAGAAGAAGACCACCAAGTGAACTAGAAAACCCTTATCAATATCAGTCTGATGCTTTTGATCCAAGATCATTTCCCCCTTTGTCAATTCCATTATTGTATGGTTCACTGATATTCTTTCCTGAAATGTTGAGGAAAACTCTGCAAAACCAATGAACTTCTAGAACATTTTTATCAATCAGCTACAATAAAATTGTAAAATTCACTTAATCATACTTCGTATCTCTATCATGGAAGGGGGAATGCATCATGACAGGAAATCACATTAAAAGAATATAAAGACAACTTACAATATGCTTTGTAACTTATTTAGTTTCTATTGTAGCTTGACCCAAAACACTAATCCTTGTTAAATAATCATATCTATGTTTCTGATATTCCACTGACCATATTTAAACTGAGGATAAACCTTTAAATAGTACGTTAACTTTTTAGATCAAAGGAGGGCTAATGAGACAGTGTGTCCTGGAAAGAAGCTCTATAATCAGGACAATTAAAAATACAATAAAATCTTTCCATGCTGGCTTTCAGGAGCATCTTAAAATATGTTCCTTCTCACATGGAAGAAAGATTGCATTTTGTATTTTAAAATGCATTAAGTTCTACATTTAAATAATAATAAAAATTCTAAGGTTGTTTTCTTATCATTAATAAGCACTAAATCATCCCTTATTGCTGGGTAAGTATGCAAAGTAATGCAATGTAAATCTCAAGTCATCTGCTACATGAGTTATGTTCAAGTACTCCTTACATTTTAAGTTCTTTTTCTAAAAACAGAAGGACTCTAAATACCAACAAATTCATAAAAAATTAAACCAATCCTATATACTCACTATATTTGAAAATAAGACACTATTCACAGTACTATTACCTATTTAATAAGTGTAAATGTGTTTCTAAGTGCTTATTTTCAGGTCATTGTGTTTTAATTAGAAGCTGATACACTGAGTAGACAGAAGCTGATAAAATAGTTTCCCAGCTGTTAGGAGTTAGAATACAAAAGCCCTAGTATACAAAAAGCTATGTGTATTAAAAAAAAAAAAAAGGCTTGTGATAGATATTCTTTAAAATTCAATTAGTCAAGGAGGCATAGCTGTGAACAGCCGTGACATATCTTGTTCTGCAATAACTAACAGATAAATAGAACTAAACAATATCAGTAAAACTCAAAATTGTGATAGGTCTGATAACTAATAATTAATGCTGGTAAGTAACATATCAGCACTTTTTTATTATGTTAAGGACCATACCTAAATCAAAATCCTGCCAGGTATTATTCACTATGCCACGGTGAGGAAGCGTTATGACACTGGTCATTAGACTAAGCTAAACTCATGTTTCAGGAAGAAAAAAACACAACACAGTTTAAGAACTAAAAGAAAAGTGATTGACAGTTGCCATAAGGTAATAACTAGGGAGGAGAAATGTACCAGAAAAGATTGTAAGTAGAAATCAGCACTTAAATTACTCAAAATATCGTGACCTATTGAAGTCTGAAGTTGCATTATATATGACGTTAGTAAACTTTTTTTTTTTTGACATCAAAAAGTGGTGGGATTTCTAGAAGACAAAAAAGAATACATGTGAAATATATATATTCAATCTGACTAATTCCTCCTTTCCAATGTCATGCTGAAATATATGCATTATGTAATTAAAGAAAATAGGTATGGAGAGCCACACAAAAAAATGCAGTCATTTAGCTTTTTACTATATCTAAGGCATAGACCGTGACAAAATTACTGTAATTTTCAAATTGTGCTGTTTTTTCTTTCTCAAGGAGGTAAAATTCAATTACAAGTTTTTCTCTGAAATATATTCTTTCTCTTACTGTAGAACTACTCTCAAAGAAATTTTGGTATAGCTCACTCAAAGAGGGAGTTTATTTATCAGGGTTGAGTAGCAGCAAAATACCTGTGGACAGACATTTAAGTAAAGATTACTTTTCCTGTATTTTAGGTCTTTGAGTATCCCAGTCTAATGCCTCAGTGCCAACTGGCATCCACAGTATGCTCATACAAATGTAAAATTTCTAAAGAAAGAAACTAATTTGTTAGTCTGTTAAGATAAATTCTTCATGCTTCAGAACTTTGTTTCATCATTCATGTATTAAGTAAATACAGACTTACAGTTTCACATGTAAGACATCTGGTTTCATTTGTTAATGTTCCCTGAAAGATTTCATGAACCCAGGTTGGGTCTGGTGGGCTGTTATTTTCATTATCAATGTTGCCATTGGGTAGGCGACCATTTTGCTTCTCTTGTTTTCTTTCCTCTTGCAAGATATCCGCAATTGTATTTAATAGATAGTTCAAGAACTCATGTGCATCCTGCTGCATGTAGTTATCAAAAAGCTCTAAAAGATTAAAAATAGCAATAAATTGGTTAGTATTATACTACAAACAAGATTTTAAAAATGGAAATTTCAAAATCAGTCTTTGTTTCAGGTCTTGAATCATTTCACAGTAAACACTAAAATCAGTACTTCACATATTAAGCCAAAAATATAGCAGGGGGGTGGGGAGAAACTCAGCTTACATACACATAAACATCTCAACTGATCAGAATTACCAGAAAAGTGAACCATTCTGCAAGAAAACTAGAGCACTATTCTGGTAACTAAACATTGGTGTACGTATAGTGGCACCTGAAATTTTACAGATTTTAATGGTTTGGATCTCCTACAGGGGCTACGCTGTTTTAGACAAACTTAGGTCAACGTGTTGGATAACACAAGGCATGTCAAATGCCATTAGATGTTGATATTTTCACAATGAACTCAGAACTTATGACAGGAAATATTTCATTGTTTATATATTCTATCAAGGAAGAACATGAACAGTAAATGTTCAAAACATTCCTTTATTGATTTTTACTTTTAGGGGTTTAAGGCCACCATTGCTCTGTCATAAATGCTTTGCTGTCAGAAACAGCAATGAAAATAAAATTCAAATGTCAGTATCTCAAGTTCTTAAACAACAATGGTTTTTGCAGATCTTTTTAAGGCAGTGTTTGTAGGAGCTATGTCACATTAGCCTGAATATCTACCCAAGGCAAGAACAAACAAGCTTTTTATTAGGACTTGAAGTAATAAACAGATCTATCTTTTAAGATCTGAAATATTGCTTCCAGAGATTGGTGTATGTAGCAACTTTATTACTGACAGACTTGTTGGACAGATAAAAACACAGTCACTATGTTTTGCAGTTCACATTGGTTTATCAACATCTCTAAGCATAACAATCATAGAATTAATTCAGTTGATGGGAAATAGTTTTGCTGGCACATACTTGCAATGTATAGCAATACTACAGATTTAACTCTCTTACAAGTCTATTATCTTGTTTACGTTCAGACTGGTACCACCGTGAAAACAGTTTATTGTAGCCCCTTGAAATACCACCTTGAGACATCCTCTGCTTCTACAAATCCTCACTTACGGACTAAGAAAACCTAAAGGGCATTGAACCAGATTTATTAACAGATACTTCTCTCTGACCAGGAATTCTTCAAAGGAAATTTTCCTATCAGTTTAACAACCATGCTATATTATTGGCTAATATCATACATATTTGGTTTTTTTTTTAGCATTCACATCAGTTAACTGTAACTTTCAATTTGCTCTTGATAACACTAAGAGACTGGCCTTAACAAGAGGAATAGTTCTTAGAATTGGAAAGATGAATGAAGAATATCCTCAGTGATGAGTAAGTTTTGAAATGAACACAGGGACTACATCAAGGCTTTACTATTATTCACTATCATTCACATTGATGCCATCCAGGAGTAAACTTTGAACACACCAAAAAAATCCTGAGTTATTAGCAAAGTAGGGAGAATATGATGCTAGTCTGTATCATTTGGTTAAACAGTGCAACAGGGCAGCCAAGAATATGAATCAAGTAGCCTATTTAATGAACTCCTACACTATTTTTGAGAAGAAAAAGTTCTACTGTGAATCTAACCACCTACAAGATCTTTATTTAATCAAGTAAATCACGGCAGAACAAGAGCTACAAGTCTCTTGAGGTAAAACACTCCAGAGGTTCCTCACCATGTTACATCACAGATCTCTCGGGGATATCTGCCCAGCCAGTAAATTAACAACATTGTTCATTTTATGATTAGAAGAAATTTAAGTAAATGTAACAGTATTCCTTCAGGTGGCTTCAAGGCAGTTGCTGCTTCACAGACAGTTAAGCTTTAAGGTCATTAATATATGTATGTTGGATTCAGGCTTGGAAAACAAAGATTGAATAGCAGCATTGTAGTGTGGAATACATCAAGTTTATGTTCTCAGTCATCTCCCTGGTACAGCTGGATACTGACTGGAACAGAATTTTGATTGGTATTGCATACCTATCTGATTCTTTCTTAATCCTACCCTTCTCTAAAGCTCAAAATTGTGTACAATAAACTTGTAATAGTATATACAAAGTCCATGAAATCACTGCTCAACAACTTAGCCATTTAATTCAGTAGAAAAGGTGAGAGCTTCATCATTGAAAGACTCAAAAAGCCAACAAGAGCTGAATTTTCACATTTTTTCTCTCTGAATATCTTCCAGTTCCTTATCCTGTGTAGAATTTCAGTGTCATGACATAATTAAGCATTTAAAATAACCCTTTTTGTAAAGAACGTAATGTTTTTCTTTCTGCTTTACATTTGAACCCTTCTCCACATTTGTCATAGTCAGTCAACATTCATTAGCCAACTAATGAAATAATAATGAACGATTTCTGTAAATACATAAAAATACAAGGACAGTTACTCAAGTACACTTACTGAAGAACTGAAGGATAGTTTTCTATTCTGCTTAGGTAAGACATTTCTTAATGTCTTACTTAATGCTATTCAGGTAAGAAACAAGAAATGTTAAAAATCTCTGGCAATCTCTTAAAATTTGGGATATCTATTACAGCAAATTAGATTAACAAACACTGGATTTTAAGCTAGATTCTTGCAGGGATGTCTCAATGTCTGCTCCATACATTCAATTTGGCATTCAATTTTACATTAAAAGAGTAATGATCTTTTAAACACAAAATAAAAGCATTGCATTTTGGATTATAAAATTACAACTCTTAGGCAATATTAGCAGGCAAGTTCAGAAGCAGTCTCTGACAATACATTGACTTTCTACACAAAGAGAAAGAGAAGAGGATTCTCTCAAAATAGATCCAGGGTTACACCCTCATTCTAGGGTCATCTCGTTTTTACCCTACAGCACCAAGAACACTTTTCATCCCTAATAAATATGTAGGTATTCCACTATTTCAACTTCAGAACCAAATCATACTTGCTATTACACAAGAAAAAGAAAAAAAAAAAGTTACCATTTTCTTTTCGTAATCTTGTTATAAATTTCTTGGGAGGTATAACTCCAACTTTTTTCTTCTGGGTGGCTATACTGTGGAAAAGATCAGCTAAGCATGTAAGGAGGTTCTCTTTTTTTCTTGGTTGACTCTTGTACGCTAAGACTTTGTCTCGAAATGGGCGACAGAAATAAAGTGCCTGAAGAACTGAGTTGCAGTAGCATGTATTTCCAAACTATAAAAGAAGAGAGACATTTATTAGCTTGCATTGTATTACTATAGACAGGTAAAATTAAATCTGAAGTATGAGAAAATTCATAAGCACGGCAAATTTTCTGCAAGTCATTTATTCTTGACTTTACGATGTTAAAGCATATTTCTGTTGTGCAAAGGATTAACAAGGACACTAAGTAAATGCAAAAAAAAAATGTAAATTTGAACAATGCTGTATCATTTTGTCCTACCTGTAAATTTAATTAGTAATAATATTTTGCATTAACTTGGGTCAAAACGTGCAACAAATACCACTGATTTCACAGCTCCCAAAACATGGCCAAGTAAAAATATGTCTATTGCATCTATCCATCTAGCCACAACAGCGAAGAACAGGCACAGCATGACCTTGTACTGTGAAGAAACTCAGCTGTAAATTAAGAGAGCTGTTCAGGCACTTCAGAAATTGGATTCTCCAAATCTTATTATTTGTGATCAATGTCAGAAATAACTGCTTTAACCTGTTTCTGTATTTTCAATTCTCATTTTAGGGTGACAGGACTGGCATTCCAGTTTTCTTCAAACACTGAAACGTGGCTTGTTGAGGATCTGAAGCTATGTCACAGGTGGTAGTTTCAAATGGAGATTAGAAGGAAAAGGACACACAATTTGGACATGGGCAGTCTGAAAGAGGCACGCCACTGAATTGAAGTGGGGTAAGCAGAGTCAGCTTGAAGAGCATCCATAACTCCCTTTGTGCCAAGATGCTCTCTCTGTTCCTCTTCCCTGAACTCCTTCCAACTCTTAGGCACTGCTTCCTTTGAGTCTTGCAATCACTGACACTATCGCCAGCTCACCCCAACATGACAAACCTCCCCGTCACCTCTGTGAAGGCATCATGAATTGTCAGTGGTGAAAGTCGCTCTCATTTTATGCTGCCCTCCTGCAGTGAAGCCCATTATCTAACACTGAAAGTGTCAGAAAATTCTTTATAAAGCCCTCAGCAAGTAATCCAACCTTTCAGCTGCAGTCACTCAACCTGCAAATTGAAGCACATACCTACTAGGCGCAGCCTGTAAAATGTGAAAATAATGTTTTTATGCTTTATATAAAAATATTAGCATATACGGGTACCAAATTATATTGCGATGGGGAGACTGTTACACAGCAAACAGAGTCCATTTAGAGGTATTAAGAGCAGCTTCCATCAACAGAGAAAAAGCACTAAAAGCTTTTACATCTTAGGAGTAATGGGGAAGTAACTGTTTTCTGCCCTCTACCAATTGAGACAATGACAAACAAGAGCACTATGCAATTTAATCAGAAAGCTGGGAAGGAAATTGTTTTTTTTTTGTTGTTGTTTCGTTTTGCTTTTAAAATAATGAAATATGGCTTCCTAAATACCCAAGATTCACTCAAAGAAGGAGAAGTGTATTTTTTTTAAAAAGACATGAAGAAGTCTTAAGATCTCCATATTAAAAAGTGAGGAAAATAACACCTGTTAATTTTACTTTTTAAGCCAAGGAAAAAATACAAGCTATATCAGCTTCTCTGAGGCCCAAATCCACACTCAAACAGGTTAATGAATTTAAGAGGAAAAGAGGGCTTTTTTCCTTATAGGAACAGATGAAATTATGCATTAGTTTATGTCAAATCATTTAATATTATAAGCTATTTATGACTTTATAATTAGAAATAGCAATATACAAAAGTAACACATTAAAATGTTTAAAAAGTTCCAGTTAAATCAAATGGAAAAAGCGCTAAAAACCTCTATACCTGATGTCAAAAGATGAAAAGGTCGTAAATTAGAAATTTCATAACATTCCCATTTCAAGAAGGAATGCTTTGATTAGAAATTAATTACAGTGACAAGCATGCAGTGAGAGGCAAGCAAATTATTAAGCAACAGGCAACACTGAACAAAACTGTGGAGATTAAATGCAACGTGAACGTATGTTAACCTACACGTCTATGGATTGGAACTACAAGCAAGCAGATCAATTTCATACGGTTTTCTCCTACCAAATTCAAAATGACAGCAGGCAAAAGAAGACAGTTTGAAAACAACTGCCTGAAGACAATTTTATTAGATCATGTTTATTTTTTATGTAAAGCATCAATCTCCATAGCTGCAAAACCTGATGTATTTTTTTTTAAATGCAAGGTTCCGCTAGGGAAATGGGGAAAAGGTGGGGAGGTTTCTCTACTAAGTAAATAGGAAACTTTGTTAAGCAAATAAATGCTGGTCTTACCATCATTATTACTTTACACCTCACTTTCCATCTTTGACTCCAACCCAAAAGCAGACCTCTAACTTCAAAAACAGCCAAGACCTTGCTGCAGTCCTCTCATCCTCCCATCACCAATTGAATAATGTCAATCTGGGCCTTTTCAGCCTCCACATTACGCATCACTTTCTAATTCTCCTCCTTCCATACTCAGCTCTCCTGCTACCCTGGTCAACTGACACCTTCCCTCTCTCCTCACTTTCCAGCTAACAAAAGCCAGTTGCCTCGGAAGCTCAATGCTTGTACAGAGCAATGCTTGCACATCTTTTTACAATGAGAAGTTTGTAACCATAAGCTCTATGTCTTTAGTGTTACTGTCAGCACTCCAGCACCACTCTGAAATAGGAAAATGCACAGCACTGAGCACCCATCCAGCTATTCAAAACAAGAAGGGTATTTAGCTTGGTTTATTCAAAAGACAGCTGTAGGAAAACAAATGCCTTTGTAGTTTGCATCAGAGTAACAGTAGGAAAATGTAAGAAAATACAACGATGGCATTTGTTATCTTAAACTTTCAGCATGTACAGGACACTGACACTCCTCCATCTGTCCCTTTGGAGACACTTAACAGAGGCTATATACAGGGGAGTTATCTTAACGGGTATTTTCAAGTGGTTTATTGTTTGTCTCCTTGTTTCTGTGAGGACCACCTTAAGATGTACATACATAAGAAAGGCTATTTTCATAGCCCATCCCAATCTTGCTTCCTGGTCCCATTCTCCTTTCCTTTGACAGCTGCACAATCTTTGCTGTTACCCCTTCAGCTTACTCAGCTGACAAAGGAGCAACGTGCTGGCTGCACTGGGAAAAGTGTTGTCCACAGGTCAAGGGAGGTGATCTTTCTCTTTATTCAGCAGCAGTGAATCCACACCTGGAGTGCTGTGTCTCATTCTGGGTCCCCCAGTACAGGAGAGATACAGGAGAGAGTCCAACATAGGGCCATGGAGATGATGAACAGACTGGAGAATCTCTGCTGTGAGCAGAGGCTGGGAGAGCTGGGGCTGCTCAGCCTGGAGAAGAGGAGGCTCAGGGGGATCTCATCCATGTCCCTAAATCCCTGAAGGGAGGGTGCAGAGAGGCCGGAGCCAGGCTCTGCTCAGTGGTGTCCAGTGCCAGGACAGGAGGCCATGGGCACAGCCGGGCACCCAGGAGGCTCCCTCTGAGCACCAGGCAGCACTGCTGTGCTGGGCGGGTGACGGAGCCCTGGCACAGGCTGCCCAGAGAGGCTGTGGGGTCTCCTCCTTGGGGAGCTCCAAAAGCCGCCCGGACGTGGGCCTGGGATGTAGTGTTCCTGATTAAGCAGGGAGGTGGACTAGGTTACTTCCCCTGAACCCTTCTGTGATTTTACGGAAGCTGAAATGTTTCAGCAGCATGACAAAGGTTGGCCAGAGTTGGAGAAAGGAATGAGACAGGACTGCAAATCAGCAGTTTTCCTGATAAAGCCTGGAATTATCCTTAAAAAATAAAATAAAAGGAAGAAAAACAAAACAAAACGAGCTAGATTTGCATTTGGAATGGTGAGACTACAGCTTTGGTAAATACCATAATACATATACCATGTTAACGTTTAGCTTATCTACTTGAGCCATGTCTACATAGGCAATCTATACTTATTGAATCTCTTACGTAAAATCTCACTTCAGGCAAGAAAACTTTCTCTGAGCTGCTATTAACTGTCATTCCTATGAGTTCAGTCCCTCCAGATCACACTAGGAACACGAACTTTATTTTTCTTTGTACTTAGCATTTGGCTCTACAGGAAGCGAGAAGGAATCAGCAGCAAGTCTGACATGCACTAGGGTTTGACCCCAATCGGGCAATCAGATTTAACTGAATAAAGTGCTCATGTCAGGCATTTTTAGAGGAGTTGCTACCTCTGACAGATAGTTCACAAAGATCTTCAGTTTAGTGGATGCAAATGGCAGCACTTCATGCTACCAACGTTTTGATCTTACCACTTACCTAAAATATTTCCTGCTGATTTAGTGAATGGTATTGTTCTTTCAACTGTAAGCTGAATTTTCCATGTAGAGCTTTCAGTTACAGAATCAAACACCCCATGAGCCACCTGTTTTCCACATGTTTAAAGTGGAAATATATTAGCATCATATACTTACCCAGCCTAACATCTGAATTGAGGTGGTTAGAGAACTGAAATTTCTAATATGTGGTCTGCAGGTTGATCTCGCATTAGTTTATTGATTACTTGGGTCATTTTAAGAAGAGTTAATATAGACACATAACCAAGGTGGAAGACAAAGGCTTAAGCTGAGCCATTGTTCCCCTCCAAAAAAAATAGAATAATACTTTTACACTTTATTTTACGACATGGCCAAGACAGCATAAGCCCTTTGCATACTACCATAGATCATGGGACAAACTTTTAGAAGTGCTGTACTCTTGAGAGAAAGGGTGGGTAGTATCTAAGATATCTGTTTAAGTTTACTAAGAGGACATCGCAAGATTTAAATTGCCTCCTGTCCTGGCACTGGGCACCACTGAGCAGAGCCTGGCTCCGGCCTCTCTGCACCCTCCCTTCAGGGATTTAAGGACATGGATGAGATCCCCCTGAGCCTCCTCTTCTCCAGGTTGAGCAAAATCTTATAGGGAACAGTGTACCCCCTACAGTAAGTATTAACACCTAAACTCTTCTATTTCATCTTTACAGAAAAAAAAATAAAAAGCAATGCATCATTTTGAAGAAAATTCAACTTCCACAGGAAAGGAATAAATTACTAATTTAAGCCATGGCAGTTAAGCTGCATCTAAATCAGCTTATCAGTAAGAACATTTAATGACTGCCCAGTGGATGCCGGGATTTTAGACTCCTAAACCATCTTAGTGCTAAGAACCTAGAGGTAGAGACATATGCTGTAGTAGCAGGACAGCGTTACAAGTAATTAGTTTCACTACAAAAAGGAAGATGCTATCTCATGTAAAATCCACCTGGTTTAAGTACACACTTTCAAAAAGCCCCCAAAAGAAAACCATTAATAATTTGTTTCAGACAGAACCATGCAACTTCAAACAAGATACACTTTTCATGGGTAACACCAGAAATTAAATTTTAAATTATTCCTGAAAACTAAGAAATGAATTGAACAATTCAGTGTGTTTTTCCACACTTGCTTTCCCCTTTGGGCTCAGTATATTTTTTTAACATCTCAATAAAAATAGCAGATGTGAAGGCTTTATACTTTCAACAGCTTCACTGATTTTTTTCTTTTACTGTATTTATTCTCTTAGATTGGCAAATTACCAACTACGTGCTATATAATTCTAAACAGATTTTTTAATACTTCTACATTTTAGCTGCAAGTGGTTTAAAAACTATCTTACAATAAGTAAAATGATATAAAATATTAAATAACTAGCCCAATTTCAACTATTATTTCAGTAACCTATTTCAACAAATACGCTGATAATTAAAATCCATTTCAGTAAGTGTGTATATTCAATGTCTGTATATTTCAATGTTTTAATTATTGACCCAGTCAGTCTTGCAATTTAACAAATCCAGTCACAGCATTTCAAAGCAATCGAGTTAGGAACTGAAACTTACATTAACCAAACCAAAATAGTGTTCATTAACTGGAAATTGTTCCGGACCAATCTCTTTCTCCAAAGCTGAGGCATTGGCGCCCTAGAAAAATCAAAAGCAGAAAAACATTAGTGTTGCAACTCTGTATACAGGGAGTTTATCTGGCTGAGAAAAAAAATCTAGTGTTTTTTTTTTCACAAGGATAAATGACTCAGATCTGAAAATTGTAAAATGAACAACTACAGCCATGAGTGGCAGCTCATACACATCAGAGACATCAAAAACACAGTCACAATTAAGAGTCTGACCACAGCACACATCTGGGGAAAAGAGCCATTGTTCAAGCTATGTTTTGTATCATGTGTACAGACCTTAGTTATGCATTTCACATTATATTTCAATCCTGATTCTCACATATGCATGCTGGACAGTTAGTTCAAAGATTTTTATCCCCCAAACAATCACTGATTTACTTCAATTTATCTGTGCTTGCACACACACAAGATTACTGGTCGCAGCTGTAGACCTTTCTATATCAAACCTGCATCTTCAGATCTCAGATTGTAAGGCTCAGATTTTACTGAATTTACATATACTGAAGCAATCCCTCTAATCAGGAGAGAGGAAGACAGAAATAAATACAGACTAAATACAGAGAATGAATGAAACACCTTCCTGCTTGTACTCCAGAGGGGGAGAGGAAGTGGAGTTTGTGATCCAGGTCAATAATCATACATGGCAAATTAAGAAAACATGTTTAATTAGTCTGTTTCTTAATCCAAATACAAGCTTATAGGCAGGATAACAGTACTCATGAATGCAGGAAAATCAGTCCTTTGAGTTCTCTGTTGATCTGCACTCTCAGGATGTTTAGATTGGCCACAAAATTGTTTAACTCAGATCTTAAAAGCAGACAGGTCACCCAGCAAGAAGCTGTGCCACAATATAATATTTACATGCTTATGATGAAGAACCTAAAACCCTTTCACCACCAGAATTTTATTTCTACATTATCCAAAATGCCCTAGATAACATATTTCCAAATACGTTCTGTTTAAGAACATCTCAAAGTAAGTTACATCATTTTTGTGTATTTATGCAATCACACTGTTGGTGTGCTGTATTTATTAGTTTCAGAGTGTAGCTTCTTTAATAGCAATCACATTAATATAATATTATGAAGTAGATGATAAAAGGCCAAATGATGCTTCCCTCAACAAGCATAATTCTCATACTCAAGCAATGTATCTCACACAAAGTTAAGAAATGCAGATTGTTCATAGGAAGCAGACTGGACGGTTCCACTTAAAATGAAAAATATAAAACGTTTAAACTGTTTTGTTAAATACCTTGACTTTTGTAACATTAAAAGATAGCACAGTACAGCTAGCCTTGATGTGCATTAGAAATGCTGCAGATTTTGCCCAACACATCTGTTGGTTTTGATCCTCAAAGAGAAGTCAGAGAAAGTAACTTTGGTTACTCTGTGGTTCCAGCTGATGACTGTAGACTAAACTGGTGCAATAAACAGTGGATTTCAAAGGCAGGAGATTTTTAAATTATTGTTATTTTTCATTTAGAGATAGAAAAACCTCTGCTCTGGAAGATTCAAAGAACAAATAACTTACTTTCTAGAGGTCTCACTCTAACTACTTTTAGTGAAAAGCAAATATAGCCAACCCTTTGTTGCATAAAACATTAACATACATATGCTCTCTATCAAACTAACACATAAGCATGGATATTTCAATCTAAAGTCAAGCCTAAGTGAATCTAAAATAGCTCATACTATAAAGAATCTTAAAAACAGATGCAACTCCTTCCCAACTAGTTCTTTTCATTTGTTTGTTTTTACACAAAAGATGTAGCAAATGGCCCTGGACATAACACAATACAACTGAATCAAAATCACAAACTGCATTAAAAATAGCAGTTAGGATTTCACAACTGTTCTCAAATGGTGCTGGTTTTGATAAGGAAAAGTTGTAGAAACCCTCATTTAAGATTAAAGTGCTCCATGGCTTCTGAATATTTGGTGTTGCAGTATTATTGAAATACACCCATGAGTTCTGGCAAGGTGGATATTATTTACAAATAAATAGGAAAAATAAAAAAGGAAAGGCCTTTTTATCCTATTGTTAAAATCTCTACTTCATTAAAAATAAATTCAAGCGGTTTAGGAAATTCTTTCTCTTTTCAAAGCTAGGGTGGAGTAGCTACTCTTTTCTATCTTTGGAAGGGAGAATATTATGATATAAACTTTGATGTTTCTGTTTCATACAGACCTGACCACTGTATTTAGATTTCTAGCACAATAAAGATCCCGACTTGTCAGTAAGTAAAATGTGCTAAGGCAGGCTGATACTAACAGTACAGTTTTCGGATTATTCAAGGCTGTTTCAATCGAGGCTTAGGCGTTCGCATGGTTTCAGAGCACGGCATTACTTTTGTTTGAATGCAGTTGTTTATGAATGTTTTATCAGTACAAACCAGCACGGATGTTTGATACCAATATAAAAACCCACAAGTTACTAAGACTTCCTTCTACAGCTCTCTTTTTGTCTGTCATAAGAGGATGTCATCCCTCCCCACACAGTAATCACTTATCCTGTGCACAGCGGGCTGGCTGCAGGCGGGGAGGACACAGCATGCAGCAGGAGCTTGCAGAATGTGCTGAAATAAATACATCTGGCACGTAAGAACTATTTTAAAACCTAACTATCCCTCACTCTGAGTGGTTTCCCATTTAATATTACAGTACACATTATCAGTTCCAGCTGATAACATATCAAATACAGATCACAGAATGGTTTGGGTTGGAAGGGAGCTTAAAGCCCACCCAGTTCCACCCCCCTGCCATGGGCAGGGACACCTCCCACCACACCAGGTTGCCCAAAGCCCCATCCAGCCTGGCCTTGAGCACCTCCAGGGATGGGGCAGCCACAGCTTCTCTGGACATGTAGTGGGGAAGCACTGTGACACCACCAAATAATATGGTACCATATGATATTTTGGACAAGAGGTCAGCAGTGGTTTAAAGCAGAAGTGGAGTTGTACCTCTTTACATGAGCCACGACAGATTTACTGGACTTGGGACTAATGGACTTTCAGTCTATGATGTATGATGCAGAGTATAAAAGTTCTTCCTCTGCCATCTAACTGGGATATGGGAAGATCCCAAAAGGATTCTCTTCTTCTCGGGGTTCACTGAACAACCCATACAACTGGTGCTGGAAGGATGTAGTATCTTTAATCAAGTACAGCTAATTCTCCTGATTTTCAAGTTTTACAGATATAGGTTCTCTAAAAGTTCTAAAATAGACAAAAACAAAAATTCCGTAACATTGAGCATTTCAACAGGAAAGGAAAAAAAAAATCTAACACGCAGTTATAAGATGGGTTCCCTTTCGTTTTTTTTTTTTGTTTGTTTTTTGTTTTTGTTTTTGTTTTTTTGTTTGTTTGTTTTTTGTTTTTTTAACTTGCTAAAGCAATAACATTGCTAAGTATTTCCACTTTTATCATTGCCTTCTCTCACTGCCCCGGAGGTCACACTACTGTGGTACCACAAGCAGCGGGTCTCAGAAGCACTAATTCTAACAGCTAACATATGGATAAGCTTACAGCAGCAGATCTGTAAAGCACATCAGTGGGTGTTTATGATCTGACATCCACACTAGTTGAGTTTCAGATGTTTTTTGCCAGATTGGTTTTAGACTGGCTGTGTGACTGAACACTCAGCTGTGGCTGAACTATGCTGCTTGATTTAGTTTCCACCAGAAGGAATTTAATTTGTGCACAGTAAGATGACTTCAAGATGTAAACCAAAGTATGGTAAAATTCAGGTGCCTGGAGGAATCAGTTCAGAAGTGCACGCTGAAACACTAATGTGAAGGCACTCAGCACTTGTCTAAGGAAAAAAAAAATCTACCCTGCACTGAAGTACTGTCTAAAAACATGTCAGTGAGCAGGCAAACACGACCAGTTTTCAAGTGTCCTACCCTGTTGTTATCACTCAGCCTAGCAGACAGCTCTTCTCTTACAAAGATTGACTCACAACCAGCCTAATGTGCTTTGGAGATTACACTGGTGTCAGTCTTAGAGGGAGGGGGGATGCTGATCTATCCCTTTCTAGAATAAACATCAGTTGGTAACGAATGGCTCATCTTCTCAGTAGTTTGCTGTAATAGTTTTATTCTTTAGATTTACCGGGTTTTAAGTTTCCTGAGTAAAACCAATGATTTAACTTTTAAAAGAAATTTCTTACCTCAAAACTTACATTTGTTGTCAAAGTTCTGAAAGTGTCTTTCTCCCTTCATTCATGCTCTATGCTAGATCCTTGCCCACAATGCTTTCTACCTTACCCAAGAAGCAAGGAACAACAAAGACAAAAGGTGACTGATGTGACTAACCACGTTACATAGGTATATATAAGCCAAAATTTTCCAACTTGACTTAGCTATAGGCAAGTGAAAGAGTATTGTATTAGAAGATGCTTCCTTGTCTGTGCCACTATTGCAGCTGTACAGAATTTCCTAGTCTAAACTAATTAATGCATGGTGACTGATGGAATCTTCTATGGAAGAAGAAATACAAAATCCTACTCTTCAAGTCAGATTTTATTAGAATATGTAAAATCACACTTTTCCATCTCCTATATTAGTCATGACTAAAAGCAAACACTACAGCTACATTAAATCAGTTTATATCGGTCTGTTCAACTGCAACCAAAACGGAAACACATTTCTTATAATATTGTTTCTGGCCCAGGAAGAAGCAAAATATGCTGAGTGGGCTTCAGTACTGCTTGTTGTTAATTTATTTGCAGAAGAACATGCTCTAGCAATACACAACTTGATAATCTAATTTGGATAGCTTCAGTTCATGCTTTTAAAATACTTACAAATAGTATTTTTTTCCTTAATTAATTGGTTTGAGACATAGTCCCACGTACTCTAATCATACTCAATAGTATTAACTCAATAGTCTAATTGAGTCCATAGTAAAACATCCCTGCACAGGCAAGGAAGATGATTGCACAGCACAGAATTACCTTCACTTCCCATTCATCACGGCTACCACACCTGTCTTTTTGAGCCTCACTG